TTATGTGCAGCACACCTTTTTAAACTGCTTCACCCATTGTCCAGAGTGAGTTAGGGATATGGGTTGATTGGACAAGAGAAATGGAGAAGTCTCTAAAATGCCAGCGTGACAAAGAGAAGCAAAAGGAAAGCACTCAGTGCTACCAAGCTGAGCTTCACCTCTGCTTGGCTTCCCTTAGACATCTTCATCGTCCTAGTCATTGTTTCTGGCAGCTTTGAAATCACCGCCACCTCCATCGACCCTGGTTATTGACCTTCTGGTCACTTATCCTCAATTACCTGTCCAGGCCTCCCCAACAGTCTTTAACAGTGTTCTCCAGCTGAGGATTTCAAAGGGTCTGGGAACTGTCACATGACCCTTCCCCCAGCTCACCACTCCTGTGCACCACTCTGAGCAGCTCCTAACCTCTTCTTGTGCTCTCCACTGTCTCCATACCCACTGATACCCACCTCAATTTAAGTCCCTGGGTGGACCATAGAAGATCTGACAAGTAAGACACAACTCAGAAAAGAATGTTCTATGAGCAACAGCTGTAAACACGAGTGTGGACTCAAAGTCTGGGCATTCTAGCTCAGGAGTTCTGGGTGGAGCCCTGAAGCCTATGTTTCCTGCAAGAACATTAGTGCTGCTGCTCAAGAATCACAGAGGGCCAGAGAGATGCATGGTTCCTAGGGGTGAGAAGCCTTTATCTTCTTAAGGATTCCCTCCGGCTTTCTCTCCTGCCTTCTATGTTCATAGAAAGTCCCATGTGGGCCAGTCTTAGCCCTGTTCTTTTTATTCAGTAGAAATAAATGTCTTGGGCTGGAAAGATGGCTCAGAGGATCTAAGCACTGGCTGCTCTTTCAAAGGGCCAGGGTTCAATTCCCAGCACCCACAAAGTGGCTCACAACCAACTGTAACTCTAGTTCCAGGGGATCTGATAGTGTATGATACCCACTGTGGGCACCAGGCACACGCATGATGCACAGACACCCATGCAGACAAAACAACCATTTTCATAAAATAAAAATAAATGTTTTTGATAAATAAGTAAACTTCTTTTCCCCTTAACTTCTATCCAGGGCAGTCCACTCTTACCCCCTTGATTACTCTGCTTCCTCTATACGTCATTGCTTGCTTTCCTGTCTTCCCCCAAGTTTTACATTATTAAGCAGAACAATTAAATTAGTTCTTTGTTGTTTCAAGCTTTTTCTTCAAGAGCAAGATCAAAACTAGACTTTGCATAATACCAATCTCACCAAGAAGAGTAGTCACCATCTAAAATAGAATTTTGAATCACTGTCTTGCACAGCAATGTCAAAATAGCCACATGCCCCACCAGTTTTGAACATTTAGAAAATGATGGCATGTGTGACATATCAGAGCTATAAAATATGTATACAAAAGGATCTAATAGAATTTACAGCTTTATAAATAAGGAAAGGGGGGGCTCAAAAACTTTCAACTGACTACCTCTAGGTAGGATTCAGGGGAGATGAGACTAAATTGCAAACGTGCGGTCAACCAGATCCCTACAAACCACATCAGTCAATGTAGACTTTGAACCAGGCCTGGAGGGGCCAGGCTGTTACCCAGCAGTTCAGGATGATAAGGCAGGAGGATCACGAGTTGAAAGCTATCCTAGGATACAGAGGGAGTTCAAGTCCTAAGTGGGCAACTTTGTGAAAACTAACCTCAAAACTACAAAGTAAAATGAGAGACCTGAGGATAAAGCTCTGTGTTAAAGTCCTGGCCTGGATCAATCCCCAGACAGTGGGGGATTCAATGTAGATTTCAAGCTTTCAGTGACTCTGACAGGAATGATATGACTTAAGTAGGAACAAGCAGAGGCGGAAGCAATGCAGCCCACCATGCATGCCTTAACCCTTAGTAGTTAAATACATAATCTTAGAATGAAAAATATGAAAAGCAAGACTATAAACAAGGCCCCGATCTAACATGTAAAAATTAACCTATAATAAAAGATGACATCCAGTTAGGGAGTTAACAGTTTGTGTGGTTACACCAAGGAACAGATATATGGTATTAGCCCGAGAAAAGCTAGTCCCCGCTTGCACTAGAGGACATCTTGGTTCATTTGGAAGAGGTCATTGTTTGATTGCCACTACACTCAGTCAAGCTGATTCAAATCCTGTGGCTTCATCCTTGGGCACATGCAAACTTCTCAGACACCACTGAAGAGGAAGTGAGCGTGAAAAATTTTGTGCAGTCTGTGCCTTGGTTTCTTCAACTGCATACAGCTATAATAATAGCAATTTCTCATTGATACCTGAAGATTAACTATGGTGTGTGTGTGTGTGTGTGTGTGTGTGTGTGTGTGTGTGTGTAAAACATCAAGAAGAGTATCAGGAGTGGAGATATTCCTTCAAATCTATCTCTTCAGGGGACCCTCCATCCTAACCCCCAAACCACCACCATCAGTTCTACCCACTTGTGCTATTGTTTACCCAGTAATTAACCCCTTCAGGTCATTTTGATTAGAGTGCAACTGACACTTTAAAGAGTGTCCTTGAAATAATGCTTCCTAGTGTTTAAATACACAGTTAACCTAGGTGGGAAATTCAAGGGAACACCTGCCATTTAACAGTTATCTGCACCCATTTCCCCCCACGTGTAGATGAATGCTTTCATAGTCATCTTCATTTCATAATAGGAAGCTTTAGCCTTGGGCAGCATTTCAATTTGACTGCTGTTGGGAGCCTCTAAGTAGTATTAAAATGATTAAGTCCATGCTCATTCGGGAATATGAAGGAATCTGTAAATTCCTTCTGACTTACCCCTGTCAGAGTTGATTTCTGAGTGTTTATAATTGATTCTGGTTTCTACCCATTTTCCTAGGGGGAACCTTTCACAAAAGGTGAAAAGGGAGATAGAGTAAGTAGATGTTAAGCGCTATCTTGGGTTTTCTATTTCATTGATTTCTCTCTCCAGTTTGTTGTTTGGCATGTAATTGATTTGATAGAGTAAGTTTACTGAAACTTGTATTTTCTTCTGCTGTTTCTTACTGTTATCTTTAATCCTCGGTAAATGTTATCTTGTGATAACACTTTAACTTTTGATTTGTGTTATTCAGGCTTTCTTTTTATTTTTATTTTACATTTATTTTGCGGGGATGGTATTGCATGCCATATTTTGTAAACATGCCTTTGTATGTATAAGATGTCCAGAAGACAACTTGTGGGAGCCTGTCCTCTCCTTCTACCATGTGGCTCCTGAGGACTGAACTCATGTATTCAGACTCAGCAGCAACTGCCTTCACTCTCTGAGCCATCTCACCAGCCCTATTCAGGTTTTCTTTAGCCTACTGCTATTAGTGGCTAGGCCTCAATGTCATAAAAGTCATCAAGTAAGAATATCTAAACTGCCAGCAGGTGGTAATACACACCTTTAATCCCAGAATTCAGGAGGCAGAGGTAGGCAGATCTCTGTGAGTTCAAGGCTGACGCCAGCCTGATCTACAGTATGAGTTCCAGAACAGCCAAGACAGAAATCCTGTCTCAGAGAAAAAAAAGAAAGAAGAATAATCTAAACTACAAAACTAAAACATGCAATACAGGTTTTCAAATGTTTTGGTAAAGACGCAAATTGGACTTTCAAGAGAGTCATGGAAAATAAGAAAATACTGTGCTCTTTTATGTAATTTTTTTTCTGTTTTATTAAGTGCCTAGGAGTAGAATCACAAGCACACATACCTCTTCAAACTTAGCCTATTCCATCCCGCCTCTCCTCTGATGTTGGCCATCATCTGTTGGTGAATGAGTCATTGCTAATGTGCCATGATGTCTTCGTTAGGGTTTACTGTTTCTGTGAAGAGGCAATTCTTATAAAGAAAACATTTCATTGAGGGGACTGGCTTACAGTTCAGAGGTTTAGTCCGTCATAGCAGAGGGCATTGCAGCATGCAGGCAGATGTGGTGCTGCAGCTGAGAGTCCTACATCTTGGCTCAGAAGCAACAGGAAGTTCACTGATTGTCACATTGAGTGATGCATGAGAAAAATTACCTCAAAGTCCACCCCCACGGTGAAACACTGTCAACCGAAGGTGTGGTCCAGATTAAAGATGTGCCCTGTAGCCTCAAGATCTGGATCAAAGGTGTGTGTCATCCAGCCTCCTCCAACAAGACCATACTTCCTAATGGAGCCATTATCTATGAGTTTATGGGGGCCAAATACATTAAACTACCACACATGATGTCACAAGTGAAAAATTGAGATGAGGAGGTTTTGTTACTTACCAGCAAAAAGGATTCTGGATCTTGTTTTAGGTTGAGCATTGCTTGATTGCATAGCTTCCATAATGTCCCCTTTTGTTGTGTGCTAACTGATAGAAAGTCAATTAAAGTACCAAGATGTCTAACCCCATCTGGATTCAGGAATAAATCATACGGCAACTATTTTATTCACAGGGAGAACCCGGCCTATTAGGACCACAGGGAACAAAGGTAATCTTCTGGCATTTTTTCAATCACAGTTGCAACATTAATGAGATGGTGAAAATAATAGCAACATTTAACTTTCCTTTCCACTCATGCATTTAGGGAGAACCTGGAGATGTTGGTCCCCCTGGTTTAACAGGAAGCCCAGGATTAAAGGTATGTGCTTCATATATTAAAGTGTACAAGAAGTCACTATTGGGAAATAATATGGGAATTATAGCCATCCTGTATTCAAAAAGGCTTTGATGTGCCACTCATTTTCTTCACAGATGTTCTCAGAGATTTTATCTTGTTTCCATGGTGACCCCCCACCACCACTGGCTGCTTTATTACAAACACAGAAGCTAGGCCTTTTGGTATACAATAGGATTTTAAAATTCTCTTTCAGAACAAATTCACAATAGCATCCATAAAAGCTTTAAGAGTAAACAATGCCAGTTAAATCTATGACCCTGTGCCACATTCTTAACAGGAAAAGGATTCAGGATCTGTTTCTACACTAAAATTATGTATCCCTGAGATTCTTGAGTTTCCCAGAGGAAATTCTACGGGAGTGTCTCAAAAGGCAGTTGGGGAATGAGTGAGAGGGACTCTCGGGGAATGCTCCCAGGCAGTGCATCAGGGCAGTTACCCTAGTATCACCTGCTGAAAAAAGCAATCCCATTAAATGAAATATCTCAGAGGGATCTTGCTAAGCTCAGAGCACATGACAGTACTATACACTAAAGGTGGGATGCAGAGAAGATCATCTCTTCCCTATGAAGGGGAAGGTATTTCACCAACATTCAGATACAATCTATTTTTATGCAACGTTAAACTTCTACTTTAGGGTCAGCAAGGACCTGCAGGTGCCATGGGACCCAGAGGACCACCAGGAGATGTCGTATGTATAACATCTTCAATGCTCTGAAATGACATTGAAATTAGGACGTGTCTTAAAGAGCATCAGTCAGTGAGCTGAATTATGCTACATTTCCCAAAAACAAGGGTCATCGACACCACCCAAACTGATCACTTCTGATGGGGGGGGTGTTACTGGGAAGTAGTTTGGGGTGGAGCCGAAAATAAACAATCTTTGAAACTCAAGTTAACTCAATTGTCAGTAGTTAATACTACTGTAGAACAGTGTATACTGTAAATATCCAAAGAAATAAGAGAAAATCAAGAAAAACAGCAAGCATTTCCAATATGCTATATGATAAAGTCACTGTAGTGGGCTCTTTCTCTGTTTCTCTCTCCCCCTCTCCTCTCCTTCCCCCCCCACCCCTCATGCTTTTTGGAAGCATTATTTCATATATTCTCCCAGAGTTCTACTCCTTGGATAATCTCCTAGCCTCCCCCATATGAACTCAGGTACTAAATCAAAATGGAGAAAATTCCTGACTCCAGCTCTCAGTGACTCTCTGCCCATGAGTAGGATTCTAGTTGGGCATACTTGAGATCTCTCCTCTTTCCATCATCTTGGCATCAGACTTCTTTCCCTAATCTCATGGTCACTGCTTCAGCCTCCTGGAAGCTATTGGTTAGCATCCTAGCGTGCTTGCTAACTTGAACATCCAATCCGCAGGAAAAGGTTTTTGTTTGTTTTGGGAGATGGGTTTTTCTGTGTAGCCCTGGATGGCCTGGAACTCTCTTTGTAGACCAGGCCTTGAATTCTGAAATCCACCTGTTTCTGCCTCTCAACTGCTAGGATTAAAGGTGTGCACTACCACCACTGGCCTACACCACTGCTGACCAAGAACAAGTTGTTTTTTTTTTAATTCTTCCTACAAGCCAATAACTGGATCACTTCAGAGATCCTGCATGGAAAGACACCATAAAAGAGAGAAAATGTTGACAACACAAGATTAACCACAAAATATTCTAGTTAGACTGAACTGTCTGTACTAGGAACAAAAAAATAAATAAATAAAAATAAAATCATATCAAAAGGAAAATAACCATTCTGGCTAAACATAGTAAAAATATTTTGACTACTTAAGTTGGTTTGTGGTGCCCACCAATCACCACCCTCCCTCCTCCTCATAGCAACAGTATGGGTGGAAGATTTCAGTTCTTTTCTGTTTCGCATTATAGCTGCTGACGTCACTTGAGACAACAAGCCACACATCTTCAAACAACATTTCTCCTTAGGCCAAAATCAACATTACCTCGTAGATAGATGGGAAAACTCAGTACTCTTACAAAGGTAGAATGCTATTACATTAAGAGATGTCCTAACTGCTCTTTTCCTTTAATTCTGCATTTTCTAGGGATTGCCAGGAGAACATGGTATCCCAGGGAAGCAAGGCATTAAAGGAGAGAAGGTACAGTTTAGACTTGATATTTTTTTTAATAGTAAGTAAGTAAATAGAAAGAAGAAACCAACGTCATCAGAGAAGCAAAAGATTAGCCCAAAGCTTGAGCCTTCCAGGATCTGTCATTGCAGGGGACAGACATTCATATAAACTGTGATACAGTGCCCCTGGTGTCACGTATCACTGCAGCCATGGGAATGGCACAGAAACTCCAGATGACAAAATGAGCTAGCTTGGAAGTGAAGATGTTAGGGCTGAGGTCAAGCTATGAATTCTCAGGAGTCTCTCTGCCTTTTACAATCTGTTTGGCTGTGTGTGGATGTAGCATGTCAATATTGCATCATCTCCAGGAAATAAGGCATTTAGATCACCTAAAGAACTTCATGAATAGATATGCCCTTTGTGCCTGGGTTATTGTACTAGTCTGTGTTTCCTTGTACTGCTAAATTTTATGTGACAGAACTCATTTCAGAATCGGAATGTGTTTAAAATAACAAGGGCAGGTCCTAGAGTGAGTTAGGTACTTGGTAGATGCTTTTGAGGGTCAGAGTACAAAATTGAACATAAGGATGAAGTTTAACTGGCTATGACAACATAAAGCAATGGAAACCACTGCCTCCCAACTTCTGGTCATGAACCTCAGCAGATGAAGAAAGAAGCTGGTCTTGTTTTCCACAGGGAGATCCTGGCGGAAGGCTAGGCCCTCCTGGACTTCCAGGTCCAAAGGGTGATGCTGGGCCTCCAGGGAAAAACCTGACAGGAAAACCAGTAAGTATCTCCCTTTTACTAAGACTGTCTTGAGAGTTTATTTACTGCTAATTCTGGACCCCAGTTTCAAGACACTAGTGTAATTTTTAGCCCACAAAAAGTCATCTTATACCCTAACTCATAAAACTAAAACAATTTGAATATTGGATGCAAGCCAAGGGGCCTCTAATGCAGAAGATGCACAGGCATGCAACATAATCTGAGAGGTTTCAAAGGCCCCAGCACATTATGCCCTGATTTCTCAAGGATCTATGAATCCTTAAACACTGGTTCTGAGCCACAAGCCTTCCTAGGATATCGCCTTTAACCAAATGTTCAACATTTCCCTTCCAGAGCTTGAGGATATAACCACAGACCATCATTCATAAAAAGTGTGTGTAATCCACGCTCTATCCAGGACATAGGAAACTGTACTGCCAGAAAACCCAAAAGCCAATATGCAATTATATGCTTTTCTCCAGCCCACCAGTTCCTGAATCACCACCCAGAAGCTTAATATTAATTATAATTGTTTAGCTGATGCCTCAGGCTTCTTACTGGCTAGCTCTACCTATAAATGAAGCCATTTCTATTATTTTATATTTTACCATGAGGTTCATGGCTTGTTACCCCACATCTTGCTTCCTCAGCAACAATGTGGTGTCTCCTTCACTCTGCCTCCTTTCTCTCTGAACTCTATTTGAATTTCCAGCCTGGCTCTATTCTGCCAGGCCATTGACAGAAACAGCTTTTTTTATCAACCAATAAAAGCAACACATATTCACAGCATACAGAAAGACATTCCACGTCACCAATATGCTCATTGGATTTGCCCATTTTCCCCCCACCCTCTTTCTGCTGTTTATAACAATTATTAATGCCAATAATACTGAAGATTGGGAGTTTAATTTCACAGATAAAACCTCTTACATTTTGAGCTAATTATAGAAAATCTATAACCTTCTAAATTTTTCTCTCTATTCTTATTAAGAGGCTTACTCAAGTAAAATGAAGGATAGTGAGTCATGCTTTTGAATTATCTAATTATTTAAATTATTTAGAAAAAGATATGTAGTCATCTGACTTTTTTTTTCCTTTTAGGGATTAGATGGAAACCCTGGAGCACCTGGTCCACGTGGACCAAAGGTATCTAGATTTCATAGCTAATTTTTAAAAGAATTAATAATAATGAAAGTGTAAGTGAAAAAGCACATCTGTCTTGAGCCTCATACTAATAGGAGTCCTTGCTTTCACAGGGTGAAAGAGGACTGCCAGGGATCCATGGCTCCCCGGGGGACACAGGCCCACCAGGGGTAGGAATTCCTGGCAGGACAGTAAGTAATATTCAGTCAAGTGATTGGTCCCCAGTTGGTTACATTCTGTCTCCACTCTTATTCAATGCAGTGTTCATAGTCTTACACAAAGCAATAAGAAGAGAGAAAGAAATAGAAGAGATACAAACAGGAAAGGAAGGAATAAACCATCCCTATTTAGACACTCCTTAACCCTATGCTTAAAAGACCCTGAAGACACTGCCACAAGACTCTTAGAGTGGTAATGCATTTTCAGCAATGTAGCAGAACACAAAATAAACATTAAAAAGTAGCAGCCTCTCGATATAGTATTAAGAAACTTAGCAAGAAATATCAGGAGAAAAATCTCACTCAATTACTTGGGGCACGGTGTGGGGCAGGGGGGCTAAAAATAAAACTGACTCAAGAGTTCAGAGAGATGTTCAATGAAAACTTGAAGGTACTGAAGAAGACACTAGGGCTTGGAGACATCACTTATGCTTATAAACTGACAGAATTAAGGTAATGAGAATGTCTGTATTACCAAAAGCACTCAATGTAATTGCCATCAAAATTCTCATGATGTTCCTCACAGAACTGGAAAAAGCAATGCTAAAATGTATATGGATGCCCAAAGACTCCAAACACCAAAAGCAATCCTAAGCAGAAAGAGCAGTTCTACCCGAGGCATTGTATTCATCCCATAAAGGAAAAGGAAATCATGACATTTGCAGAAAAAAATGGGTTGAATTTGAAATCATTCTATTAAGTGAAATAAACCAGACTAAGAAAGACAAATAGTCCATGAGGAGGGGTGTGTGTGTGTGTGTGTGTGTGTGTGTGTGTGTGTGTGTGTGTGTGTGTGTGTGTGTGTGCAGTCACATAAGTAGAAATGGAACCATGGGAAGGGAAGTCAAAAAGAGTAATGAAATACATCTGACAGGAAAGCAGAAGGCGTGTCTTATGGTGAGGATAGAGACCACCAGGAAGAAAACAGGCCAGGAGACTGCACTGGGGGAGAGAAACCCATAAGAGCAATGTGTATATGAAAATGCTATAATGGAAACCACTACTTTACACACTGCCTTTAAAAGATAATAAAACATTATATCAATAAAGAGGTAACAAGTTTATAGGAGAAAATACCACTTAGGGGAACAATGAAAAGACAACAAAAAGCTTGATAATAGCAATGTTATGAATATTTCTAAATAAGCTAGAGAACCCAGAAAATGCTGGTGCCAACTGCTTAAAAGAAAAAAAAACAAAGATTTAAAAGATGGGGTCTCACTATGTAGTCTTAGCTGGCCTAAAACTCACAATGCAAAACAAGCTGCTCTAGAACACACAGAGATCTGCCTTCCTCTGTTTCTCAAGTGCTAAAATTGAAGACATGTGTCCCGCAAATTCAATGCCTCAAAGATATGCATAATCAGAATGAATGTCACTGGGTTCTTGGCTAACTTCAACCTCTCTTGAGTTATTGCAAACCGCAGCATCCCAAAAGTAGAAAATAGCCCCTGTACTGTTAGTTAGCCATCTACTCCTGCCACTGAACACTGGAGCCTGCTGTTTCTTAAGAGGAAAATGGGGGCCTGCATGTGTCTGCATCAGGGGCTCTGCGTACATCTTGTAGCTCTTAGCTTGGTGTTTCTGTGGGACTCCTAACTGTGCAAGCAGGTGTGTCTCTGACTCTTTTGCTTGTTCTTGGGACTCTTCCTCCTGCTGGGTCACCTTGCCCAGCCTGGATATGAGGGATTGAACCTTAACTTATTGTATCTTGTTTTCTTGTGTTTTGTTGTTGTGTCTTGGAGGCCTTCTTCTTTTCTGAAGAAGAAATGGAATTGGAGCAGAATCTGAGGGAGAGAAGAGATGAAGGGGAGATGAGAGAAGTAGAGGGAGGGAAAATTGTGATTGGAATGTATTGTATGAGAGAAGAATCTACTTTCAATAAAAAATAAATATAATAAACAAATGGATAAGAGGGAAATGAGCCAACAAAGAAATGAAATGAGGCCTAGGCCTCTGAGCCCCATGGGCAGCTGGTTTCTGATCTGACAGGATTTGAACACGTTGCTTGCACACTTTCGAGTGTGCAGCAGCAGAGTGGAGTGAAAGAAACACCCAAGTGTGTGAGCGAAGTCTTGTTCTTCTAGCCTTAAATGTCTGTCTCTTTAACCACTGCTTTAGGTCATGGCAAGCTTTCCAGAAACCATGTGCAGGGCTTATAGAGTGTTTAGATTGTGCAAGCTTCAACCCTGTCTTTCTGCGAAATAAATGACAGGGCATTTATGAATATCCCTGGTATAATTTGGACAATTCTCTCTCTCCTTTTACCCAGGGCTCCCAAGGACCAGCTGGAGAGCCAGGTATTCAGGTACGTGATGTCGCTGAGTTACTCACAAAATAAGTTTAGTTTTCTTGATTGCCAGTAATTACTCAAAAGACTGTCCTACAGAACATTTTGTCTTGATTTTTCTAGGGTCCTCGAGGTCTGCCCGGATTGCCAGGAACTCCAGGGACCCCAGGGAATGATGTAAGGACCTTCCCCCAAACCCCATCCCATGTCCATTTTAATCAGCTGTAACTTGCAGAGGTTTGAATAAGTGGCTTATGTTTTTAGGGAGCTCCAGGGAGAGATGGAAAGCCAGGCCTTCCAGGGCCCCCAGGTGACCCGGTAAGTAGACAGGCTTTGCCTGATTTATGTATCTTTAACGTACCCAGAAGCCAAACAGCCTACCAAGCAAATTTTGCTGTCCAAACTAATTACAATGCTTGGAGACTGCTTGGTGATTTTGTTTATCCCCATTATTTTGTAGAGGGGGGAAAATTCAAGCTGGGTCAGCATTATTGTGTGTATGTGATGAATACTTATTTCCTAAGGGTATAATTCAGCTGTACAATTTTGCCCCGGGCTGAGCCTTAGCGTTTAATGTCTTTGTTCCATGGAAAATTGAGATGAAACAGATAGCCACGATTTCTAGTCTTTCTAATGCTAGTGAGAAAATGAACTTCATTTTTCTAAATGGAAGTTTGCAGGTAAGTTACCTCCACTGTGGTGCAGGGCCATTGACTGAGTGCCTCAGAACAGACGCGGTGATTAAATTATGAAAATTGGGTTGAAAATCTCAGAAAATGCATTTAGATGCTAACCGTGTGTTACATCGTTCTATTTCAGGTTAAACCTTGCTATGAGTGACAGTAAATCTTTTTAAATAGCCTCAGCTCCAACACTTATATTTTTGAGGGGCCATATGGTACATGGCATTGTATTAAGAGTTTTGTATAATAAAATCTAAATCTGGCCCCTCGCTGGGTCTTCACAGATCCCCTTCCCTCCCACACTGTGTGCCTTTGAGCCTTTAGAAACTGCATGCGGTGACATTGTCCAGCCTTTCTTTAACTCCATCACTGAATCATGCTCCCCTGTCTCGAATCCTGTCAACTGTCACTCCGGCTTACACAGTGTTCCTCTGAAAGGGCATTTTAAGACCTGTGGCCCAAACATAGCCCATGTTCTCCAGGGGTCTGTCTTGCCCCTCACTGAAGTGTCTTTAGAACTTCTGTGAGGGCTAATTTTAAGTTGGTGAAGGAGTGATTTCCTTTTAACAAATGATACAATAACACATTATATTAATTAAAACCAACAACACAGGGAAAGCAGAAAGGTTACCTTGTCATGAAACTACAAAATCCAGGTGTATGATCAAAACAGTGATACACACGAGCTTGCCTGATCTTGGTGAAGGAACAGTGAATACTCTCGTATTCTGGTTCTTGTCAGTACTGTGTGTAAGCTATGTGCCATGAAACGCAAAGCTAAGCGAGTGAGTCCCATGGTGAGACTCACCACCCCCAAATTTCAATTGGCATGGCACTTTAAGAAAAAATACACACATCAAATTCTATGTTCGTGTTGCATTGGGTTCATGTATATGTTAATATCCATGGATTTGGGTTTGTCTCTCTTAATTACAGATTGCACTGCCTCTCTTGGGAGACATTGGCGCCTTGCTGAAGGTATTCTTTTGCTATAAAAGAAATTACATGGTGTACAGAAAAGGTTAAGAAGAAACTTTCTACCAAAGATAGAATTAATAACTGCTCAGCCCAAACAATTCAAATTCTAATGTTACAAAGCATTTAATGCTGAAAAATGCATGTCTTATTACATCCTGTAGCATTTATACTAACCTTCCCACTCCCTTCTTTCTGGGTCACACACAGTGGATATGGAGATGGGAACAGCAGTATTGAGATGAGATACAGGAAAGGGAGATCATTGCTACCTTTACATAGGGCCTGCCTCCTCTGAAGCAATAGCTTTCTCTTCCTTTCTCTTCCCCACCCTGGCTCGCTGCCCTGAAGCCTGTCTGCCACCTTGTCAGCTTTGGTCAGGCTCAATATTCGAATATAGTGCCACTGGCTTGCAGATTGAGCTTTTATGTCATGGAATTTTACAAAATGAGCTATAAAATCCCAAAGCCAACAGCCGCCCTAACATCTGTTACCCGGTTAAACAAAAATTATCTCTACTGATTAGCTATTCCATAAAGTAAGTATCTTGGGCTAAACATGGTGGCACACACCTGTAGTTCCATCCTTTAGGAGGCTAAAACAGGAGTACAACAAGTTTAAATCCAGCTTTAGCTATGTGGAAGCACACACCATACTAACACCACACACACACACACACACACACACACACACACTTACACACTATGGCTACTGTTTTTTCTTAAGTACTTTACTATGTGTTATCAGTAAAAATGAGGCTTCTGGTAGTGGGTGAGGCTATGCATATGTAGTCTCCATGCAGTCGAGTAAGAACTGGTGGACCTATATGAAAATGTAGCCCCTCATTTCACTCTTACACTTCCTGCCTTTGGGTGAACATGCATATACACCATTTCATTTATACAATTGGTGTTTATTCTAAGGATTTGCCTAATGATTTACATAGAAACATGCAGCGTTATAGCTTCGAGTCCACCAAAAGACATGGTCTAGTTTTGAGAAAAGATATAGAAATATAAATATTAACACAAAAACTTTTTAGAGGGGTTTTTAGGAACTTGAAAAATGCAGAGTTTTCTTATAATACAGAATATTTTTGAGGGTTTCAGAGAGCTCTCGTGTTGAATTATAATTATATGTCAGTCAGTGAAACCTTACTTATTTCTTTCCCATTTAGTCTCAACCAAAATGTTCTGAGCTCAGGCTAGCGTGCCATTTTCAGTCACTGAAGATACTTGAAGTCCCAAGTAGCTAAGTAATTTGTCCAGACACATAGCTAATAAGTGTGAGGTGGACCCAGGAATACATGCCCACAGGTTTTAAGCCTTGGATTCTTTGTAACAGCAATAACGTTAGAAATGACTAGGTTATAGGATCAAACACAACCAGAACTAAATGTTCTGACAGAATATAGGATAGCTCACAGAACAGACAACATACTGAGTGGACTCTGCTAAGAAGAGGCCCGGGTTCTCTGGGCGGGGTGGGGGGGGGAAGGGGGTGTCTCAGGGGTAGAGGAAATGACAGTATTTCCAGGACAGCCTCCTCCAACACCTCACACTACTCTTCCAATACCAGAATCACCTCAATGAGGTCCTGAGTCATCATGGTGGGATGCAGACTGGAAAGTTTGTCTGATAACCCTAACAAGCTTTGAGAAGAAGGGAGAAACAAGTAGCCCCCACCCAAACTCCAAATTCAAGAATTTGGTTTAGAGACTGACCTGAGAAAGCAATTCAATAACATAATGTTAAATCCCAACCCTGCAACCCACTAACTTAAGCTTTGTGTCTTGATCTTTTTACAAGCTGTCAGCTGCTTTCTGTTCTCTAAGATGTCTTGAGATAGAGCATTGAGAGGACCTGGCACAACCAAACTATCCCTCCCAGCCCTTCTAGATTAATCTGTGTGCCAGGTTCTCTGTGCATTGGCTAATGATTAATGCATCTTAATCATTTCTATAAAATAATATTGAGTCATTTTCTTCAAGGAGCTTTATTAAAATCAGTTTCCCTTGCTTTATCTAACCGAAGGAAATGAGACCATTAGCAAATGAATCTAAGAAGTTTCTGTTGAGTTAAAACAATTATCATTTTTAATTTTTTCCTATTTTTCTTATTATACTAAATATGAATTCCACTAAAATCATCAGTGGAATCATCTATCTGAAGACATTTCTGAAATCAGTATTCAAAGGTTTTGCTCTATACATGTAAATATATGATATATATGTCATATATATCTACAGGCATAATTTGTCTTTCTCATACATTTTGAAATATGCAAACTCCTAATTCTCTTGAGCCCCACCTTCGCCTTCCCTGCATAGTGGTTCTATGATTTTGTATGTGTTGATTCATAGCCAAAAATATTGCCAACTTTTCATTAATAGCAAACCTCCATTCCTTTTGCTGTTCAATGATTCTTCCAATTACTGAAAACAATGAAAAATAGGAGTTTTCTTTAAAACTAAAAATAGGAGTCCTGCTCTACCACCTGTCCCCTCCATCAATGGTCCTTAAACTTTGCTGGTCGTATTTACATTTCAACATCAAAAACAACAACAACAACAACAAAAGAAAACCAAGCTTTTCATAGACTTTTTTCCTATCCATATAATAAGACTTTAGTTTGTCTTAGGAGCATAGATCCTAGCCTCTGTAGATATCCTGAAGTTTGTCAAGTCAGTGGAACAGTGATACAACTGAGGTCTCCCATCTCCTCTTAGATTTGACCCTGGGTCAAGTCCTAGGACCTTGAATTCCTGTTCTTCCCAAGGGTGCCTCCAGTGACAATCGTTAACAGACCCTGTGGTGTGTTCCCAACTCATTCCACTTTCAAATCGGAAATTTTTCCTCCCTCTCTTTTTTCTCATTGTAATTCCACAGACTTGGGCTATTAGTTTTATGTACTCTTTAAACTGGCTGCTTAATCCAAACTTTAATACGGTGTCTCTTCCTAAATGTGCTAAACGGTTAAAACTCAGATTGTGTTCTCAAATTATATTCCCCACCCTCACTATTTGGGATTTTCCTTTGAAATGACATCAGAGATGTGTGTTTGTGTGTGGGGTGTGTGTGTGTGTGTGTGTGTGTGTGTGTGGTTTTATTTTTAAGTAAAAGTTCACCATTACAAACAAAGATTACTGATTAGCCTTGTCAAGTGTTTACCTCAAAAAGTGATCTTTCAGATTGGACAGACAAGTCTCTGAAGGTAGAGCAGCCTCACAATAGCTCATTTAACAAGGGGTCAAATAGATCAAACCTCAGCTTCATAAAGAGATTTTATGAACTTATCAGTTAAGTTGTCTTTATACTTGCTAGAACTTCTGTGACAATTGTCAAGCCCATGTCCCTGGGCTGAAAAGCAACAAGGGGGATGAAGGAGGTGCTGGGGAACCTGGAAAATACGATTCTGCAGCCAGGAAGGTGAGAGGCTTGTGGCATGCCTGTGGGTCCTATTGCACACCTACTGGGTATCCTCTGTATTGCAGCTGTGACTCCTCTGTCTTCTAGGGGGACATAGGGCCACGGGGTCCTCCAGGAGTCCCAGGCAGAGAGGGGCCAAAGGTAAGAAAGTCCTGTGTCAGATTCTCAACTATATGAAAAAATGGAGAATCCCATTTTTAAAATGCACTACTCCTAAGACACTTGCTTTGGCAATTTGGGGAAAAGGGCATTTGCAGATGATGCCTTTGGTTTATTCCCCGATGCTGTCCAAATGCTATACCCCAAGTGTTCTGATGGGGGATTTTTTTCCATTGTTCCAAACAATCCTGAAATGGTCCAATGTTAGCTGAAGTTACTGTCTTTTTAGGGAAGCAAAGGAGAGCGGGGCTACCCTGGAGTACATGGGGAGAAAGGTGACGAGGTAAGAGATTCTCTGCTAAAACAGCCAGCTACTGCTTCTCTCTAGTTGATTCAATAAAGACACTGAGTTTTCACTTATGCATGTTTGATACCAAGACCATTGATAACCAAGAAAAATTAGACTTTTTAAAATAACACATTTTGGTAATTATAGATGGACATTTATCTCCAATGGTCTAGACGTGGAGAGACAAAATTAAGGCTAATAATTAATATGAAAGTTATGGGGATTCTGTTTGTAGGTAGTGGGTAATTATCCCTGATCTCACAAGAAAAGAAAGAAGAATAAACTCACAAAACAAAAACCTCAGGATAGCAAAGAGGTAGAAAGAGTATAAGAACAAGTATAGAGATGAGGGCAGCTCCAGAGCCAGTCAGGGGATATCTCTGTATCAGTTAAACATGACTGATGTTTAACAACCTTGGTTTCTCTATGTCTCTGATCAGCTTCCAAACACTTGGGAGAAATAAGTTGTGCAGTATGGTTTAGGTCAGCATCTCATCCACCCCAGGACCAAGCACGCAGATCGAACGTGTTCTGGAGATAATGGTGTAATACTCTTACTATAAGCCACAGTGATGCTTAGGATATCATTCTTGCCCTGCATAATTCACATTAACTCTTAGAAAAACCAATTTGGATGATGAATTGCTGTTAGTTTAAACAGTTTTGGTGCTAATAGTTCTTAATGAAAGTAAGAAAGCCATCTGGCATATATTAACCTTGATGGTAGTGTGGAAAATTATGACACTATAAAATAGATCTATTTTCCTGGTAAGAACTGTATTTCACATTACAAGTTATCATCATTTATTATTGTTTTTATTGATATTCATTGTGTTCTAGAAACCTTTAAGATTGGCCTGGGATTGTTTTCCAAGTTAAAAATTAAAGAATAAGAAATACGGCATTTATTTTCATTTATAAATAAAACATCAAAGGCATTTTTGTTTTGGAAACAAGTAAGAATTAATGAGCTTTTGCTTCCTGGAGTTCCACAGAAGGTTTCAGTAAAGTATAAGCACAGTAATGGGCTCTAACAGGCAGGCAGGTTTTAACTGCCTAGACTCAAGAGGTGGGTTTAGAGCCAATTGAGAAGGTAATAAAAAAAAAAAAAAAGATTGAGAAATAATTGCAATTTGGGCTTTTTGTAAGTGGCTCTGTTAAATTCGCTAGACATTAAATTTTATTGATTCTGTGAGGTATGTTGCTGTCTTGGTGAGCTGAGCCCACGGTTAATATGCCTGGATCCTTTAGTGTGCTCTCCTTAGGTGCACTTTGCACACTCTTTGACATGGATCACAGAAAATTCTGCAGAGGACTCATTAGACTCCAGGAGGCGCTTTTCCCTTAGTCTCCTCATCATAAGCATAACATGAATAAACCTGGCCCAACATACTGACTTAGTCGGGCCTTTCGTAAGGAATAGGCAGCATACCTTTTGTTTCTCCCACAGATCAATAACAGCAAACATAATTGCATCATCTACTTGGAATCAGAGAATACCTTAGTTAACATACCTTGTTGAATTGTTTAAATGAATAAAAACATTAACTAACTGGCCAACAGACTATTCTCTCTTAACAGACATGCATTGCCTCTAATGTTACAAAACCACAAACATCTATTCTTCATTCAGTGGAAAAAGTACAGAGAGAAGAGCATATCTTTTTAGAGTTCTGATTTTATAATCTTCAATTTAATTTATTAAGTGAGAGGAATCACTCATTTGTCACTCTTTGAAAGGTGGCTTCCTCCAGGTTCTTCATATATGCTTTATGACTCAGCACCAGCTTGAGAAGGTGCTGACAGAGCACAGATCCTACCCTTCTGAGCCAGAGAAAAATTGTTTTGGGGGTCTTATGTCTTCATATAATTAATATTTTACAGTAATTAATGACAAGCAAGACATGAAAATATCACTCATCATAATGTATACAAGTGGTGGCTGAATATCTATGCAATGGATTTTAATTTACATTTGAATTTGCACCATTGAGGTTAACTTGACTGTCGTAGTCTTGAATGTCTGTCTTCTTTAATGGCCATCCTGTCTTACAAAAATCATCTTATCGCCCTTTAGGCCTCCATAGCAGCTTTCACTCTTAATACAAAGTTTCAGGTAGCTGAGAGAAAGACTGCTGATGATGGTGTTTTTACGTATGTACTAGGGTATATTTTAAAGTTTAATGCGGCCACCAAAAGTTAATGAGTCCCAGGCTTATACGTGAGACAATCTAAAACCTCACTGAGCATCTCTAGGCTGACTCAAAGTTGAGACTTGAAGTAGCAAAGAGAAGAAGAAATATGCACATGCATATCCGAAACAGGTACATGTAGAAAAATGTGGGAATGTAAATGTTTTAAGTTGAAGAAATTTATGATACATGTGCATAAGCTTCAGTCATTGAAAAGTACCATTCGTAATGGAAAATTTTCCTTTCCACTTACAAAGTTACAAATTTATTTATAAACTCATAAAGGTAGTAATAAGAAAATGAAAAGAGTTGGGCCATCATACTGATGTGAACAGTCCACACATGCACATGTGCATGAAAACAGCAAGCCAATGGGGTTGACAAAATCTTGAAGTAAGAATGACTATGTTCTTGAAAACAAATATACAGATTTTTCCCAAGACTTAGTACATGAGGCATCCCAGCACACTCAAGGAGATTATTTTAGTATTCTTCGTATCATTCATGTCTCAGTATTGCTGAGAAGAGACACCATGACCAAGGTTACTTAGAAGCTAATATTATTGGGGGCTTGCTTACTGTTTCAAAGAGTTAGTCCATAATGGTCATTGTGGAGAGCATAGCAGAAGGCAAACAGGTGCTGGAGCGGTAACTGAGAGCTTACATGTCATCCACAAACACAAGGCACATCTCCTCCAACAAGGCCAGCCCTCCTAATCCTTCCAAAACAGTTCCGCCACCCACCAACTAGGAACCAAGCAAATATATGAGACCATGGAATCCATTCTCCTTCAAACCACCATAGCACCTCATGAGTAAACCTGAAATAACATGTGATCTCATTTGGTATTGTACAAACTGAGCTTGTCCTTAAGACTATTGGTACAAAGAACCTCAATCCAGCTCAGTCCTGTAGACATCTCATAAAAGATGTTGTCACTTTACCACAGTAACTTCCCCTGATATTTATAATACCTACAAAACTTCATCATTTAAGAACATTAGAAGGAGGAGTTCTATTACAACAAATAATATTAAGTCAACATAAAAAGAATACTGAATTCAATAAAGGAGATTAAATTTTGAGAGAATGGAACTATTCCACCCAGAAGTTGGGTCTTGTTTTTTGTTGGTTTGCTTGCTTGCTTGCTTGGTTGGTTGGTTGGTATTTACACCACCAGCCATCAAAGCCTGAGCTTTATGACTGCTGGGCACGTGCTGTACCACTGAGCAACAACTCCAGCCCTTCAATCTAGAACCTGACCCACATGATGTTAATCTGCTGCAACAAAAGGGTGATTCATTTTTTCCTCTGATTAAAAAATGATCTAAGCCCCTTACAAAAAGTCAGGAAAGACACAAATCAATAGAAACCTAAAACTTATGTCTGTTCCCACAACACACAGAGGTGGTAAGAGTAGTATTATGTATGGCCCACAATCCAGACCCCAGAAAACCTCTGAAAATCCTGGAAGACTCCCTCAGGTTGGCAGTAAATTCACCTGACTGCAGAATCTGATACAAACTCACACAGTTCTGGTCTGTTTTCCCCATCCTATCAGAACATCACACCCTGCGATGGAAGTATTTTGTATTTATGTGGTATTGGAAAATACTTCTGCAGACACCAGTGGGATCTCATCACACCACTCACAATGGGTGCAGTTACCATTGCAAAATGAAAAATATATATGAAAATCCAGAATTCTGAAAACAAACCTAATCACAAATTTCCAAAATTAAAAAAAAAAAGATCCAATTCGGCTGATGAAATAAAAAATTGATCCACACATTTTAAAAACACATTGCTAACTGTTCAAAAATTTAGCCTTTTCTATGTAATACCTGTGACTTCTTTGTTCCCATGTCATCCAGTGGTTTTATAAACAGTGATTTAGTAATTATGAAACTTTCCATATTAGGGGTTTTACAGGATTTAGTCAACTAATCCTGTAGTGGGAACACCTGGTAAAGAAATAAAATTACCTTATAAATTTCCTCCTAAGTATAAATAAATGTGCCAGATTTTCAGTCCTACCCATTTAATTACTATCCTGCCCATCCAAGGAAGGGATGGGAAAAGACCTTCACTTTGCTGCTTAAGCCATAATTTTACTGTTAAATTCACAGGTAAGAATTTGCTTTCTTATAATGAACTGAACAGATAAACTAAAAATATCATAAAACATTTTCTCCTTTTTGCCAGTAGTTGAATGAAGCCTTGGTGTAATCGAGTATTTCTCTACCAGCATTACTTTATACCAATCAGCTTGTATATGATTGTACACAACCAGCTTTTATACCAGGCTCAAAGCTTGTATTTCCATGCTTTAGGAGTATACAGTTCTCAGTGATGCTACTTCTGGCTAGTGGGTATAGAACATCAGAAATGTTCTATGAATCACCAAACAGATAAAATTACCTTTGTTACAGATTCCATGCCATGGCGTTTTAGCTTACTGCCCTCACTCTTTGAAGTCGATATTGAGGGACTTGAGAGATGTCTCAGTGGTCTTTCAGATGTCTCAGAGCACTTTCTGCTCTCCAGAAAACCCAGGCTCGATTCCCAGCCCCAAAATGCTGGCTCACAACAATCTGTAACTCCAGTTCCAATGTGCTCTTCTGGCCTCTGTAGACACCAGACACACACATAGTACTCAGACACACATGCAAGCAAACACTCACACCAATATTTTTTAACTAAATCGATTTTTATAGGTTACACATATCAAGTTTCTTGATTAAATTCTAGGATTAATTTTCAATAATAAAAATATTTGAATTGCAAAAAATGATTTGTTCCCTACAATAAACTTTATGATGAAAACTGTTTCTTCCAGGGTCTTCAAGGAATTCCTGGCCTCTCGGGAGCTCCTGGCCCAGCTGGACCCCCTGTAAGTGTTTGATAAGACTATTCTCCTCACAGGTCATACCTGTAGGAATGATACAAGGTACATTGATATTCCTGGTACCATCCCTGCTCCATATATCTCTCTATAGATCAGCTATTGCCTAGAAACGTAACCTCCTTTAGCACTTCTGGCTTTCATCTAAGATTAGTTAAGCCTGCTTAGGGTCCCGGAGTCTTCCTGTCAGAATTTTTTACCAAGTCAAAGAGCATCCTCCCACTGGATGCATATACAACTGCATTCTCCCCTTAGTTATAAATTTTGGTACTGACCTTGGAAGAGAGATTCAGATGCAACACAAGCTGAGAATTTTCCAAAGAAAATAACAGGCCAAAGATTATCAGCTTTAATTTGTTTCATTCCTATTTGTGAATTTTTAAAAATCTGCTCTTGGAACACAGCAATATGGCCTTTGGGTTATCTTGTTTTCCTGGAACAGAATCTGTTATCATTTCCAACCTGCCGAACCCAATCTCTTCTTTAGAGCTGAATTCTAAGCAATCCTGAAGTTCAATTGCCAGATAAAAGACAGGACACACAATCACACTTGAGTTTCAGACCAACAAATAAATGTCTGTGTAAGTTGGTCCCAAATAATGCATTTTCCTTGCTAAATTAACTCCACTCAGTCAATGTCTTGACTCCTCTGTCTCTTCCTCCTCTTGAAGGTTCTATGACAGCAAATAATTTTATCCTTCAAATAAGAGTATGATCTTTCCTTAATGTTTTGAATCATGGGTTTGCCATAATTAAGAGGTTATCTTTTATGCTTGCACCTCAGTATGCTCAACAAACCTGTACAATAAAACTTAAAATTATGAAAGAGTACTGTAAAAGAAGCCACAAGAATTACTGCTAATTCTATTCTCGAAGAAGAATTCAACTTATTTTTTGTTTTCTTTTTTTCCAATGCAGATCGTATAACTCAAGATGCACACTGTTAATTTTGCCCAGTCTTACTGTATTTAAGATGTTGATCACTACCAAAATTATACCTCATTTAGAAAGACATAATGTTATGTAAATTGCCATTTAAACAGCAAGACTGAATTCTTCAGTGTATCAAAAGGTTCCAATTAAGGTCATTAAATGAGGTTGGACAAGGTGAAAAGTTCCACAGATAGAAGTTTTACCCTTCCAAAGGCTTATCAGGAGAATACAGCTGCTGTATCAGCCTGAAGAAATATAAGCTTGTAGACTGATTTAATTATGATCAAATGATCTTCGAAATGGCTACATTTTAGCAACCAGCTCCCAACACCTTTTTGACCATTGACTTGTTGGTTCTATAACAAACTCATCTGTCCATTTTACAGGGCTTAACGGGAAGGACTGGACATCCTGGTCCCACTGGCGCAAAAGGTGACAAGGTACAGAGGAAAATGGGGCTGGGTTAGTGGTAAGATGGGACTAATTACTGAGAGACCCATGCAATCAAGAACAGCCTACAAGTGTAGGGGATGCTGTAGCCACGCCTGCTACATACAAGAGCAAATGGTGTTAAGAAGCAGCTATTCATGAAGTGTACTTGCAAAGATGCTGGTCTAAAAGTGGGTTTGAATACAGGAGGTATGTTCCTAGCAGAAAGTAAGACGAGAGAGAACACTGGGGAAGGATATAGAAATCAAAACTGGATTTATAGGCTGGACCATCGAACCATGTGGAAGGGTGACTGGCCCAAGTCTCCTAAAGAGATATAGGTAAGCTGGAGTGTAATGTATCAGAGAGTACCAGCTTCATCTCTTTTGGATTTTATAACAAAAATAGTATAAAGTGGCTTTACAGTCTCAGAAGCTGGAAAGTCCCTGGCCACAGCACTGGTGTATCTGGCAACTGGTGGGGCCCATTTTCTTGTTCAAAGAAGGCATGTTCTAAATGAGTTCTCATGTAGTTCAACTGTAACTCAGTTTCCTTGGGTTTCTTTAGAAGGACACTGATCCCATCATGAAAATTTTACCCCGTGACCCAACTATCTCCCAAGGGGGGCCATCTAATTCATGACCCTGTGAACTGGATTCATGCTGTGAGTTTGGGGAAAAAGTGCCCAAACATTCTGAACAAGCTCTCTGCCTCCAGATGCCTTACTGGCTATAAAGACAGTGAACAATAACCAAAGGTCAAAAGTCTTGTGAAACAATCTGGAAATGCTGTTCCTAGAAGGCTGTAGTGGGAATTCACTAAAAACATTTGCCCTGGAAAGGATGTGTTGGTTGCTTTAGTTGCTCTTTCAAACCATCTGAGAAAACAGCCAAAAGTAGGAAGGGTTTGTTCTGGCTTACAGTTCAAGGCTGCATGTCATCGTGGTGCCGAGGTCATGGGAAGAGGAGATCTTGAGGTCACACTACATCTGCAGGCAGATGCAGAGAGGTCAATGCTGGTGCTCTATCCTTATTCAGTTGGGGCTCAAGCCCATGGGATAATGATGTCCACATACAGTGTAGGTCTTCCCCTGCTCTGCTAGACATTTCTGGAAGTGTCCTCACAGACATAACCAGAGATGTGTTTCCATGGTGATCCTAAGCCCCATCAACTAGGCAGTGAGGAGTAACTGCCACAGCTCACAGCTGGATATACCTACTGTGTTTGGAAGGGAAGAGCAACAGGCCAGAAGCATCAGGCTGTCCTAGTCTAAGATTGAAAGTGGCATTACAATGACAGTCCAGGCATAGGCTGACAAATCGTGAAATAGTTCAAACTATTTAGATTAAGGAAGTAAGTGCCAAGTGACCACAAAAAGCTACTTTAGTATCTCCTGCACACTAGCCAGGATGCCAGCTCCCTGAGCAAAATGGAGGATGATGGTGTCAAGGAGCAAAATATCCCCCACAACACTTAAACGAAACAATGTAGTTGTTCTGGAGAGCTGCAGCACATTTTTATCCTGTTAATACCTCCAGACCCTTTATCCTCTCCACCAGCCAATTTTTCCCCTCTATTCTCTATGAAAATTATTCCGTCCTAGCCTGGCCTTTGAAGTTAATGGGAATTCCACACTAAAATGAGTTTGAGGGCACAAATGAGAATATGACTTCTAATTGTGCCAGGAGGGAAGAAAGAAGTGTCCTCAATAGGCACATACTGTTTGTTGACTCACAAGAACTGTGATGTAATTCTCTAAAGGACATTGCCAGCAGTCAGCAGAACAGAGGGCGTCTTAGGGAGACAGCCACCATCAAAGCAGTTTGGGGAAGATACAACAGGCGGTGTGTTGCATGAGAAACTTTACAGTTTATTTATCTTGATAAATAAATGGTTTTGTGACATTTTCCTTTGTTACCAGAAAACAGATGAGTGTTGAAGTAAAATCTCTGGCCAAATTCTGGAAAAGGACTAACATCCCTCAAAATTCCTAGACATCATATGTTAGTCCCTCTGGATGTTCTGTCAATTAGCCATGTGTTGTCACTGTCCCAATAAACATGGCATAGAACATTTTATGAAAGTACTAGTCTACAAATAATGCACACTTATAGAAACAATTGGCAAAAGCCAAGGAGGCTGCACCAATTGCTTACTGTGAACTGGTTGGCATTCTGTTCTTTGTAAAAGTCATTTGTCAGGTTTCGGTTCAAAATCACAGAATAGTTACTGTTCCATAGTAAGCAATTATTGTAGTCACCTTTTGTTTTCAGTTTGTGTCTCCTACCAGGTTTTTTAAACTTTATCAATAAATTGAATTAATAGACCATTTTCCTTAAGCAGTGTCAAACAGGTTGATTCCACTCAGTAAGACACATCTCACCTGGTTGTAGAGTTTGATATTAGCCAACAGATATGGCACACGTTGTGATTTGATAATTTGGTTAAATTTATGAGAATGTTCTCTCCGGTTCTAAAAAGTTGAAGGTGGTGGAGGTGAAGCCAGGAGTGGAGGCTAGTCCAGAGAGCCACGGTCTCAGAGCCTGCAATCTTCACATGAACCCTACCCTATTCCCCCATGTACACCTAGGAGGAGAAAATCCCCTACTGTGTTCAAAGCCTGTAACAGGTCACCTCGATTGTCTGTCCCTGATGAAATTGAGTGTCCTCCCCCTAGAGTTCACACAGCAAGAATCCAGCTTGAAGAAAGATAGTCCCTTTCCTGAAGTGTATTTTACTGAGCCAAGGAGTAAACTAAGCACAATAAGAGTGCAAGTCTGAGGCAACATGGCAGGCCATGGTGATTTTTGAAGATGGCTCTTTAGACAGCCTGGTTCATGAATCTGGAGTGGGAATGGCCAAGCCATTCATTTGGACCTGTGTATCTCCTGCAGGGCAGCGAGGGACCCCCTGGGAAACCTGGACCTCCTGGACCCCCTGTGAGTTGTTTGAAGTATATGCTTTAATTCTGTGTACTTAATGGCTCATAAGGCAGATTGCTTCCATGCTTGCAAAGTTACTTCTTCTAAGTTACTTCCTCTTTGTGTGCATGCATGTGCGTGTGCGTGTGTATGTGTGTGTGTGTGTAAATGACAGACAATGAAGCATCAGGTAAACCTAACTTGTCCCTATTTCAGCTAAGCTACAATGTGCAGGGTTCAGATCTGTTTGTATACTATGAACTTCCCTTCCACGGAATCAGGATGCATGGCTGTATGCTGGCCTGACTCTAGACTTCCTACAAAAGACAGAGAATCATTTGACTATCATATACCTTCACAGAAAATAAAAGGCCTTCAAAAGGAAATCCTTTCTTTGCCATGCAATTTGGACTTTCAAAGATGCTGTGTGTGTGTGTGTGTGTGTGTGTGTTCACCGCATGAGTGATGTCTGAGACGTGAGGAAATTCTCCTTTTGTGGCACACAGTAAGAAAAATGCACAAGATCCCTGGATGTTTGCCCTCCTGGTCTAAACAGGCTTGCACTCTTTCAGGGAAGCTGTGGAGAGGAGAGAGGCCTCTCTCTGTGGCAAGTCTGCCCTCATGTGGGGCCATGGTTGAATCGCAGCAAGCTGGGGTCCATGTCCATTATTTCCCACATTGCTTCTTAGGAATTTAAGAAGCCAAGCTCAGGAGAGAGAGGCAGTGCCTGGCGGTAGCTTTCTGAAAACTAAAGCACATGTTATGAGTCTGTGTAGAGTTGCATGCCTTGCACACAACTTAACTGCTTGGCTCTTTCTTTTCTTAAACATGTTCTTCAAACTGATCCTTTCTTCCTTCACAAAGAAGCAGGATAGAAAACTCATGGAGTTCCAATTCTGAAATATGCTCCTCTCCTCAATGGAAAAAAAAAAAACATACCAAGAGGCCTGTGTTTTAATATCACACATAAGAAATCTTCCTCTGGATTCTTCAAAAAGAATTCATTTTTTGGAGACAGATTATATATCTTCTCTGGAAGGCTTTCTCAGAGGTCTCTTCTGTCTCTTCGGGGCATAGCTGACTAAATATGGCCCATGCTCAGCTATTGCCAAATGAATGAAGAACCAATAAAAGAATAAACAGGCAGAGCATCTTCTTCCATCACTGCTGTTTTGAAGATGCGTGTGAACTGTGCTCCCTGAGCACAGCTGCCCCCACCATTATCCCCAGACAGTAATGAATTCATAGCTTTCTTTTGCTTTTGCATATGAGATATAAAAAGTGAAAATGCATACTTGGATAGTTAATCTAAGAACCTGTTATCCTTTCTAAGTGTTTCCAAACTGAAAGTTTTGTGTGCATTTCCCGCAAATACTAGCATGGATGGGAATTTTCAAACTGCACAATGAGTTCTCCTTTCATGTTCCATATTCACATTTATGGTTTTTTTGGTGGGGGGGGCTCTCGTTCCCCAGTTATTAAGGATGCTTTTGTAGAAATATCCACACAGCATTGTGAATGAAGTTGTCCTCCAATTCACCTTAATTTTCTGTTTGGTTTGGAGAAACTGAAGGAAAGCATCACTTTGCAGTAGCCAAATTGTTCCCTATTCACATCTTCCTCAGTCCTACTGCACGGCTGCCTGCAGGTCAGCAGGCTGGAAACACAGTAAATTGGCAATTCAGAAACTGAATTTTAATGAGCAAATAATATTTTTCCTCCAAATGCATTAGTGCCTCGTCTGCAGGCTTGAACACTACTCAAACCCAACTAGAAACATCCATGTGCTCCGGACATAACTCAGGTCCCTTTCCCTGGTTTCCTGTTTTGAAACATTAAAACACTACGGTATTTTGTTTACTGTGTTAAATTAACTTTAAGTATAAAATAGAAAAATTTAGGTAAAAAATTAATATGGGAAGAATACCATTTGGTAAAAATGACTCAAGTTGAAAATGCTAACTTCTGCATCTTACGTCTCCCTAAGGGTGTCCCAACCAGTGAAGGAAATGGCATGAGCAGTTTATACAAAATCCAGGTATCTCCATGTCTAATTACCTATGATCATTTTCCAGTTACAGGGTTCTGTAAACTCTCCTCATCTGTTTTCTCTTCTTTTGAAGGGAGGAGTGAATGTTCCCAGTTACCCTGGTCCCCCAGGACCCCCTGTAAGTACAGATGATTATCTTTAAGTTGCTTTAGCTAGATCGCAATAACGATGGTGAGATCTCTCAAGCTCACTGAATGGCACAAATGGAACCACATTTTACAGGAGTAAATGATAAGTGAAACCAATTTGGATAAAAGAAAAAGTTCACAAAGCCTTAATAATGGAAAATATTTAGCATACCAGTATCATGTTTTTTCATTGTCAGAGTTCTAAATCAACACCCAATTATGTTCATAGAAATAGTACCATATTGTTTCTTTAGAGTTGTTTTATTTTTAATGGTGTGTGTGTGTGTGTGTGTGTGTGTGTGTGTGTGTGTGTGTGTGTGTGTGTGTACACACGCACGTGCATGGGATTTACATGCAATGCCTGTAGAGGTCAGAAGAGGGTGCTGAATTCCTTGGAGCTAGAGTTACAGGTGGTTGTGAGCCACCCATCACGGGTGCTGAGACCTGAACTTAGGTCCTCTAGAAGAGCATTGTGTGCTCTTAATCACTGAGCCATCCCCTCTAGACCCCAAGTACATTTCTTAATTTTATTCTTCAAATTCAAACTTCAGCAAAAGCAAAATATGTGCCATCCTTCCATTTGTTAACGGGCATTTGAAGAAAAATGCTTCAGATACTGCAACTGTCATTAGGAACAATTAAAACATCTTCTATGTTTTTCTTCTAGGGCCCCAAAGGTGATCCAGGCCCAGTGGTATGTATGTTCTTACCTCAGTGTAGTACCCTTTGTTAACACTACAAAGGGTCCCAAGCACAGATGGCCTGCCTTCCTAGGTGTGTTTCAGTTAAGGTGTCAGAGACAAGCCAACAGACAGAGATACACCAGCAAATGTGTCCTTTATTTCCAGGATGCATTAGTCCTGGTGCTGTCTCTGCCCTTGAGGTTTGCCTCTTTCCATCAGCAGGTTTTAAAAGCCATTCTCTGCTGTAAGAAGGCACATATAATGCTCTTGACAAATGGAATGCTCCCCTCTAATGGCCTTCTTTGGATGATTGATTCAGTTTTAAGTAGCTCATGGAAGAGAAATACTGAAGGGAGAGGGATTCCTTAATATGTCTGACATCTCTCTAGCAAAAAACATGGGAAAAGACTGTTTATTTACTTTGCATGTCTTGGGCAATTATTCTGCGGGGAGTGCAGGCTGTCATAAACCTGCTTGTTGAGTGGAATATATCCGGGGATTAACACTCAGCAAAGAAGGAGATTGTGTCCTCCAGGTGCCCGGAGGATGGCAGTTGTCCTCAGCGTCTTTCTCAACCGTGGAGTTTCACGACGAAAGCTCTGCCAGATTCAATTAGATTCCCTTTAACCTTTGGCGTCTTTTCCCCTGCCATGTCCTTTTCAAGCAAATATTCCATCCTTCATGTTCCATTTGTATATCCTTGTAACCTTTGAGGAGACAATTGAAACTTAAATGTACCTAACACTGAAATAGGCTTTCAAACCACTTTCTGTTGCTATGTGAGGAAAAAAATTAAGTCTTTTTATTATAGCTGAAGTTGGTAAAACTGTCTGAATAAATGTTAAACCAGATAGGAGACAAACCATAGAAACTTCTTACATTTAAAAATGTTTTCAAGAAGATTTATCAAAGAAGTTATCTTGTTACTGAACAATATACGTATTAGATGTCTATTTGATTTACCCTAAAAAAATGATTACAAGTCCTTAGTACTATATTCTGAACCCCAAATACATTATATAGAAGTTTCCTTTCTTTTATAATTGGTTAGTCTTTCTTTGTTTGCATCTTAAAAAGATACTATTATATTATATATGTTCATCTAGAAAATACTGTTCATTTTTATTTCTGTTTTCTTACATCATATTGATAAAAATTCCTCTAGACTTAATTTCCTACAGACTTATAGAACAGGACCATTCTTAGTCATATAGATAAATTCAGACTTCTCACTGACATTTCTGGAACATTCTTTCAAGTTCTCATGTTAATAGTTGCAGGTTAAAGTGAGAACATTTTTAAAATCTATAATACTAAAGAGTAAATTATAATTTACTAGCACTGGTAAGTAGCTAATTTTAAAAAATTAGCCCCAATATTTTTTAGATGCAACAGGGCAAAGAATAAAATGAAGTGAAGGACAGTCTCTGTGTTTAAAATAGGAACTGAAAAATATGGAGTCATGAAATTAAATATTGTGTGAACATTCACACTTCTCACTAAAAGTACTGCTCTGAGTCCTACATGGACATACCCACATGCTATTCTTATCATCTCCCACTATTTTCTGGGTATGGAGAAACAGCACTCCACAGTACAGGGATAAGCCAGCAGTGAAATGACAGTACCTTCCAGAATGCATATTTGAAAAGCCAACACTAGAGGTGGTGGAGGAAATGTACTGTCTGGTATCCTTCAAGTTCCATGACATGTTAAGTCAGCTTTGTGTCACTGTGACAGAATACTTGAGATAAACACCTTAGAAGGGGGAAATACTAGTTTTGATTGACAGTTTCAAAGGTTTCAGTCCATTGCCAGCTGCTCTGTCGGGCCCGTGGTGAGTCAGAGAATGTACCAGGGAGCACTTAGTGGGGCTAAGCTGCTAGTCTCATGGTGGCAGGAAGCAAAAGACAGCTTTCTTTTACAGCCAAGCCTATTAAGCTATAAATCTCTAATGGGTTAATTGATGGGGTCAGAGCCCCCCACGATCCCTGCTTCTGTCTGCAGCTACATTGCAGTTTAGGCCCTTAAACTCATGCTCTCTGGGAAGATATTTAATATTCAAGATACAACACACAGCAATGATACTCTTCTGAATAAAGCTCTGTCAAGAAAAAATTGCCTTCGGATATAGTCATAACTGAATGGTCTCCTGATGCAGAATAATTTTTTTCTTTAGCTATTCAATATCTTAGTGGTTTCAATTAAATATTTAATTATCATCTACTCTCAAAAATGCTGATTAATTAATTGATTACATCTTTTATTGTAAGGAAAGACTGCTGAAAATGTAAACAAAGAGGCAGCATGATACCAGGATTTAGGCCATGCATCAATAACTCGGGGCCTCCTCCACACAGACTTAACACAAAAAAGAATCTAAACTCCTTTTTGTTCTTTTATTCTTGTGATTGACAGGTTATGTACTACCGAGCATTAAAAAATTCTGAAACATAAAGCATACCAAGTTGCACTCTGACATGTTAAGTGTATGCAATAGGAGGATAAACAATAGTTATTAGAGCTTTAGAAATATTTTCAAGCAGGATTGTGTTTTATATGCAGAATACACCTACAGAGAATATAATTTGAAAGCTGGCTTTTCTGTGTTTGTTTGTTTGTTTGTTTGTTTGTTTGTTTGGAGACAAGGTCTCACTTGTAAACCAGGCTAGCCTAGAACTCATAGTGATCCAGCATCCACCTACCTCTGCCCCTCAGGTGCTAGGATTAAAGGCATGCCCCACCACACCAGCCGGTGTTGTGATCTTTAAAGCATCTAGTATCCTAGGAAAATATTTTTAGTTAAAAGAATTAATTCACAAGAAATTATCAAATAGCTCTACATCTTAACTATTTCTCTAAAGATTTGTTTCTGTTTCTGTTCTTATTTGCCTGGATATGTACAAGCATCACATGTATGCAGTACCTACAAGAGGCCAGAAGAGGGCATCAGATCCTCTGAAAGTGCAGTTAGAGGTGGTTGTGAGCCACCTTGTGGATGCTGGGAACTGAACCCCCATCTCTGCAAGAGCAGCCAACTACTGAGCATCTCTCTGGACCCACTCTACAGTTTTCTTGATGATAATGTTTATTTGTTCAAATCATCAGCATTTTCCAACATAGGTCTAGGACCATGTAATAGACTATATAAAGATTTTGTTGTTTTTGCTTTTTTTTTGGTTTTGTTTTTTTAATGCTGGTCTATGCCTTTCAGTACCTGTCAGCTTGAGCAATGACTTAAATTACTGAGGTCATCTCCGTAAGCATTTGCAATCCATGTTAAAGATGTTACATTCTGCCTGGAGAGCTCCTGCGTCACTCACTCTTAGAGTTCAATCTTATTATATCGTAAGCTAGCAGCCCCAGGTGTCTCACAAATTGGCAAACTTTATTAAAATCTGTTTCTCATTCTAATTCTTACTGAAACTGGAATTATTAATATACTACAGGGATTCATCCTGATTAGATTCTTAATCAGAATAAAAATAATTAATCGGAAAATGGACTCAGGCCTGGAGAATAGCTTTAATTCCCAAGCTATTTTCAGACACCTAATGCTTGAAAATAGAAGATAATATTCACTAGGCAAGTTTTAAATCAGTGTTGCAGGGTATGGGAAATGAAGACTGTGACTTTAAACCATTGCTTATAAACCTTGGTCATTGCTCCTGCATATTACGTTTTCCTATTTTGCAGGGAGAGCCTGGTGCTATGGGCTTGCCAGGACTGGAAGGATTTCCTGGTGTAAAGGTGAGCACAAAGGTTGAATTTGCTCAATATTCAAAAATGTGTGTTTACCTGCTAAATATACCACTAACTGCTGTATGCTTATGAATTATAGGAGAACAGAACAAGCGAGGCATTAGTACTCATGGGGCTTGTTTTCTAGGGAGGATACGGGGACGAATAGAGAATGCATGATTTTAAAAAGTTATTAGAAAATACTACAGAAAGAAATTAAAGTAGAACAGGTTAAGGGGTCTCATGCATGCTTGGCAGGGGGTGGGGGCCCTCCAACACCAATTGTATGATATTCAAGAAAGCAAGAGCTGAATAGTGACCTAAGGAAAATGAGTTAGCCAGTTCCTCATACGTTTGAAGAAAGACCAATTCATGAAGTTAAAGACCCTGAGACAGGCCACCAGCTGCAGGGATAATAGGAAGATGAATGTGTGAATACAGACGTCTTAGAGTTGAGGTCTGAGAAGCAGACAGGGTGGAATGGTGGCCCAGCACATCAAATAGTGCTGCTCAGTGTGGTCACTGGAGGCATGGCGCTGGCTATGCTCTTAGCTACACAGATGGAAGAGACTGAATAATGTCCAGCATTATCTAATATTCTAGTTCTCTTTTTGTTGCTGTGATAAAACATTCTCAGCAAATGCAACTTGGAGGAAGGAAGGGGGTTTTTTGGCTTACACTTCCACATCACACTCCATCATCAGTCGGTCAGGGAAGGAACTCAAACAGGAATCTGGAGGGAGAAACTGCAGAAGTCATGGAGGAATTAAGCCGGAGAATCAAGAGGAGAAAAGATCAAATCCACGAGTGCCCAGTTAAGCAAGCTGTATTTGGGGGGGCACTCAGGACTGGCCAGCCAGCTGTCTCCCCTAAATCGGAATTTGAGAGAGCAACCCCTACTTACCTCTTGAAGTCCCTTTTATTGAAGAGATAAGGTGTTTACATAGGCAAGAAAGTTGGCTATGACACACTGTTGAATGGATACAATGAAAAGTGATGGACAGGGTTACACATACACATCATGTAAATGGGATTGCAAGCAGTTTACATCAGATCTAAGAGACAGGAACTTATTCCTAATTACAAATAGAAACCTTAACTTGCAAGGATGTAACAGAATAAGCAGGAGCTCGTTCTTGAACCACAAAACAGAAACCTTAACTTGCCCAGGACAAACAGGAACTTATTCTTAACTGTCTTAACTGCGAACAGAAGCCTTAACCTGCCAGATATAGCTTTCCTGTTTTAGTCTCCCATTAACTTTCCAGGTATGTTGTTCCTGTTCTGGTCTCACAGAATGGCCCCGTTGCTTTTTGAGGTCTGGTGAGGGCGTACAATATGCAAGAGCATATGACAGGCAGAAATCAAAATGAGAGAAACAAGAGGGGCTAGGGTCCCAATATTCCCTTCAAGGTCATACCTTCAATGACCTGACTTTGTTCTATGAAGCCTCGTCTACTAAAGGTTCTACCATCTCCCAAAGGCACCAGAGGCCAGTAAATCTGCAACACACGGCCCTTTGAGGAACTATAGCTCGGGCCATTCCGGTATTCACAGTGGAGCTTACGTTGATTGGCTCCAAGTAGAAGCATTCCGTTATTTCAATTACAGCTCTATTATGTGCTTAAATATGGGTATTGCTATTACCTATTATTCTTCTAATATGTTTGTTTCATCCTCTCATTTATTACTTCAACTGAACTTTAATATTTTTAGTCAAGCAGCAGTCATGTAACAATCACCTTAAATCGAAAAATTACGGGATTGCCTTACACTCCATATTTCTTGATTTCATCAAGTCTTCTTTTATGTCTCTAAGCAAAATTATGAAGTTGTTTTTAATATGGGTTCTGGCCAACAAAATTGCCATTTTATTATCATGGAAAGTCATTCTGTTTTTAAAAGCAATTAAATGGATCTTCTGATTGGTCATGGAGAAGAACTACAGACCTTTAGTTGCCAATCTTTTTTATTCTAACCCTGCATCCAACAGAAGTAGGTGAAGAAAAGACTTTCAAGAGACATTTGGTGTGATTAATTTTTCAAGCCATAGTAATAATTTTCATTATGTGTAGAATTTTAAATATTGACTAACTTTAGCTGTAAGGATGTACAGTTTCCTCTTGAAGTAAGCCAAAATAATATCATGAATAATGATTTTTATTAGGAGTGTGAATTACTTTGTTTAGAGGAGGAAAATATACTAGGTTGAATTGTGTATTCATTTTTTCTGATTTTCTAGGTTTCTTCATACGAGATAATAACAATAGCACTTATACTCAAACAAAGGCTTTACAAATCCAACTTCTTTTAATTATAAACATATGTATTGTATTTACATCATTTCTACCCCCTCCTCTATGCCTCCAAGTCATTTGCCCCCCCCCCAAATTTATAACCTCCTATTCATTATATAATCTGTATATAAATACAGCCTGTTGAGGTCATTTAGTTTTGCTTGAGTGTGTGTGTGTGTGTGTGTGTGTGTGTGTGTGTGTGTTTAGGGCTGGTCACTTGAAGTTGGATAATCTATCAGGAGACTCATCCTTGGAGAAAACAGAATCTCTCTCTCTCTCTCTCTCTCTCTCTCTCTCTCTCTCTCCACTTTTCATATAGGTGTAGGGCTTTGTGAGATCTCCTCCATGGCATCCACAATGGCATGCCCAATTACTATTTGAGCAATGATTTTTAAAGTAAAGAGTCTATAGTTATCATTAAAACTAACCATTTCTATTTTAATCTCAACAGGGAGATCGAGGCCCAGCAGGCCCTCCAGGAATTGCCGGCATATCGGTGAGTTTGGCTTATTTCATGTTAGCTTTTCAGGTATGCATTTCTATATCCATGATCAATCTATAATTAGTGATCAAGGGTGCTTGGATTATACTGTGACTCGGGTGGCAACAGTTGTCCAGAGCCTGTACCTCGCTCCATTCTAGAACGTTCATTCTGTATTTTGACCTTTCCCCCTCCTTTTTGTCCTTTTTTTCTTCCCAAGTCTCTTTCATGGAAACAGGAAATCCAGGTACCCATGGGTGTGTCATTAGTGTGTGTGCACAGCTCTGAAAACTCATTTTTCATACCTCTGTCCCTGTCGTATTTCAGCAATTCTCCATCTCCCAGAGGCCCAGTTCTCATCTTGGAGCATGTACATTGGGCTCCCCACCTTAAGCTGTAGTCTGCCTGGGTGCTCACTTCACCCAGGGTTATTAGCAGAGCTTTATTGCTGCTAATGTTTCCTCGTAAACCAGGCTTCAACCCTCTCAGTCATTTTTGTTGCTCTCTGGTGTCAAATGCTTTAATCTCACCAAGGTCTTTGCAAATGAATAGGAAGTGCTTCCAGAAAGGTTGAAATCATTTCTCTGAGCCCTAGGGATAATTCTGATCTCCATTCATGATGCCCTCATTAAAATTTTGTGGTCACGGTTTATCAATAAGAGGCAATTTATCCTCTTGCCAGGTGACCCTGCAGGGAAAGTCCAGTATCACATTACAAGAAAGTCAATGGAAACCATGTGCTTGGGGAGTAGGAGCACTGTGGAGAAGAGAAGGGGCCTACTCTCAGCCCCACCCTACTGCTGCCTCACTAATACTACTTGGCATCACTCTATACAACCCAAGGTCCCCAAACACCATCCATTGCCATCTACCACCATCCTAAAAGAAAGGGGGGCCCACAGACCCCTCATTATTACATTTAACTCAAATAAATAGTAAAACACTACCCATTGTGAACATGCTTTACAGAGAATGACATTTCTTATTACGTTTGTCCAGACTGAGAATAAAAATGTGCATAATTGTAAAGGCAAAAAATGGAAACTACTGTTTCTAGCATGCACTCTGGAATTTGTATAAAATGAAGACTCTTTACGAAAGTAGACTTCACACTTAATCTTACACCCTCCACACACATCTGACTTTCCTCCTCCCATGCCTTAGGGGCTGTCTTTCAGAAACTGTACTCAGAATACCATCTCATACCTGTTCCCTTTCACTCGCCTTCTACATGCGACTTCAAAATACTTTCTGTTATTTCCATAAACTAAGTCTGTCTTCAGAGAAATATTACTAGATGCCAGTAAAGTAATTAAAGTATGTGTAATTGTTTCCAAAGATAGTTTAAATGAGCAATTGCAGAAGGATTTTTGAAGGCTGTGGTTTGATTGAAATATCAGACATGTACTTGAATACCTAACATCTGACAAATTCACTTTAGAAGCAGCTTTCGCAACACTTGGGAGCACTTGGCAGCCTCAGAATTAGGAAAGGGTTAAAAACTGGCCCCACTACAATTGCACACGTGTGCAATTGTGAGATTCAAAATAAGTATTTTCTAAACTGGTCCTCAGAAAATAACAGTTAAGAGGGTCTACAAGAAGTGGTAATGGCTACAAGACATTGTAAATGCGCTCCTTGCCACTTTCAAATGAGTACATGTCAAATTTTATCACAGGTGATAGAGATATATTCCAGTACTGTCTAAATTTTTTGAGGTGATTATCATAGTTGAAGCAAAGATAAAGCCAGTTGGACCTGGCATGACTGTTCAGTGGGGTCACCAAACCCAATCCTGCCCTTTCTAGAAGACAAGAGTCTCTCTCTTTCCTGTGTTTCCAGGGCTACCCAGAGCTTTCTCTAGAATGTCTTTTTCCCCCCTCCCTTCTCTGAGAGGGGTCGCCTCCCAGATTCTAAAACAGGTTGAAGAGGAGGGCCCTTCCCTTTTAAAGTCTCAGATGCTCACTTATATCCCTGCAATGTCTTTCCCAGCCATAGTTAGGCCCACGGAGGCAGAGGTCCCTCTTTCAGAGGCAACCCTGAATGCTGTCTGATGCACTTTACTTCCAGTCTCGGCTAGACTGCTGCCGAGTAACCTACTCACTATGGCAAAACACTTAACAGAAGCAACTTAAGGTTCAAAGTCTATAGACAAAACCCATCAGAGCAGGGAAGGCATGGTAACTGGGGTAGTCTGGGCACCAGAAAGAGCTTGGAATGTTGTTTGTTCGAATATCGGTCAATCAAACAGTGGAGAGCTCCAAGCAGAAGTGGATTACCTTCAAAGGCGGACCCTGAGCAGTCTGCTTGTTTCTGCTAGTAAAACCACAGTCCTAAGGTTTACAGACTCCCCAAACCGCCACCAGCTGAGGGTCAAGTGTTCAAATACATGAGCCTGTTGGGCACATTTCACCTTCAACCTATGTAAACCACATATCCCTACCTCTTCCTGTGGTCTTTCTGATCCAGGGTTTCCTGATTCTTGTCCTTTGGACCATGGCACATTGAGAGGGAGATTTTTTTTTCTCAACCTTTTATCCAAATACAACTCTTCAAATAAAATGTTTTACTTTTCATATTATCTTACTAAACCAATGTGGAAGTTACCTTGTGAAACTCAAAATCTGACATAAATTTCTCTCACCTCTGCCTTTTGTTTTACTTTGCTTTATATTTGCTGTGATTGAAAAAAACAAATGACCAAAAGCAACATGGGAAGGAAAGAGTTTATTTGGCTTAGGTGTCCTGAACACAGCCTATCCCTCAGGGAAATCAGGGCAGGAACTCAAACAGGACAGGAACCCAGAGGAGGGAACTGGAATAGAGAGCATGGAGGGCTCCTGCTTACTGACTTGTACTCTATATCTTGTTCAGTCTGCTTTCTTACACAAGCCAGGGCCACCAGTCCAGATGTAGACTGCCCACATTGAGCTGGCCCTCCCTCATCAATCATTCATCAAGAAAATGTCCCACAGGCTTGGCCACAGGCCACTCCGATGGAAGAATCTTCTCAACTAAGGTTTCCTCTTCCTAAATGACTCTAGTTTGTGTCAACTTGACAAAACCAGCACACACCCCAACTCCCACCTCCATCTCCCACTGCAATGAGAGCAGCAGTTCTCATTCTGTGGGTCGCCACCCCTTTGGGTCAATTTGTAACAATGAAAACACACCTTTCATATCAGATTTTCGCATTACAATTCCTAACGGCAACCAAATTACAGTTATGAAGTAGTAACAAAAACAATGTCATGGTTGGGGGCTGCCACAACATGGTATTAAAGAGTACTACTATTAGGAAGGTTGAGAACCACTGCTCTAGAGTGAGAAAGAACTGCCAGGAACAAAAGACAGAAGGATATTCAATAACAAGGTTACACTGGCTTACTGTGTTCAAAAGAATCCTCCCTCTCCCCCTCAGGACACTGTAGTGTATGCCTTACAGCCTCTGGAGTCTAGTGTGCCCTAGAACATGTACTAGCCCAAACACTATAGTAGCCTTTAAACTCTTGTGTAGGTAGAAACCCAGGGCATCCGTAATATGACTCCTAACATTTTTATTTGCTTTCTTACAGGGGAAACCTGGTGCCCCAGGCCCTCCAGGAGTTCCAGGGGAGCCGGTGAGCTACCAACAATTTAGCAGCAGATACACTGCTATAGTATCTAGATGCTATTTTAAAGAAATTTTTACCAATGAACTTTTTTTGACACGTTTATAGGGTGAAAGAGGACCTATTGGAGATACAGGTTTTCCTGGACCAGAGGGACCCTCAGGGAAGCCAGTAAGTGCTTATTTAGCTAACAACTACTATTCAAAGAAATGTTCTAAATATTATCTCTTTGCCTTCCTCCTCAGAAATGTAAGGTTTGAGCAACAATTTCAGAAGGAAATATAGACAGATTCTAAAAAGTTTTGAATTTGGCCAGTGCCTTTAGTCTCTTTGGGAGGCAGAGGCAAGCAGATCACTGTAAGTTTGAGACCAGCCTGGTCTACAAGAGCTAGTTCCAAGTCAGCTTCCAAAGCTACAGAGAAACCCTGTCTCAAAAAATAAAAAATAAAAAAGTGAATTTGGGGATAATGGCAGGGGATTCCTCCAGGAGTTTCCTAGATCTCTATGTGGTATCTTTATAAATTAAACAATGATGGGGCAAGGTAAGATTTTTCTAAGTGCTAGTAGACTCATTGTTTCTTAGGTCTACTATCTTCAGTGGCGTTCAAATTAAATGCCCTGTCACATCCTAAAACCAGAAAAATCCACCAGCTGTCTGGCACAGTGCCTGTGTGATAAGGGGTAGCAGAAAGCCTTTTCTCAAACTCCTCCTTCATATGCGGGCCTTGTCCTGATGTCGTCATAACCATTCCTACTGGTGTGTCGTGCCCAGTGCCCCCAAAGAGCTTGTGTATTCCTATGAATGACACTGTGACAGTCATTCCCACCCATCGTTGATACACCTAGGCCCTACTATGACCTGAGAGTGTGCCGAACCTGGAGAGAGGCATGTGAAGTTCTGGGGTTTTTTTTAAGGATTTTTTTCATCTTTGAAGATTTATTTTATTTTATGTGTATGAGTGACTGCATGTGTATATGTGTACCATATGGGTGCTTGGTGTACGTGGAGGCTAGATGAGGGCATCAGATCCCCTGGAACTGGAGTTAGAGAGAATTGTGAGTCACCAGATGGGTGCTAAGAACCAAACCCAGTCCTCAGTGAGAGCAACAAGTGCTCTTAACCTCTGAGCCAACTGTCCAGCCTATCAAATTTATTTTTTATGTACTTGAGTTTGCCCCCCCCTAAAAAAGCAGAGAGGGTTTAATTCAGGATGATCACATTTCTTTTTTACAGAAGGCGTTAGTCATTTGCTATGTCATGTATGGAAGGGAAGGACTAAGAATAAGTAGCATGGATCCTACGAACTTTGTTCTGACACTCAGAGTTGATGAATTCTCTGGCCCTCTTCTCCGCAGAGGAGGCAATGCAAGAGACAAAAGACATATGCTGTTCAGAGGCAGGCATTCTGGGCTTGAGCTATGACCCTGGGTGTTCCATGAGTCAATTAGGTGACATGAAGTATGGATAGTCCTGCTGTGCTGGCTATAGAAAGTACCAAGGGAACACAATAATGTTCTGAGCTTCCCGTCATCTCCCCTGAACAAATTTTTCCTAACCCTTGAGCCATCTTGTAAAAGGCTTGCAACTGGGAATTACTGAGCGTATATACCAAGGATATAATACAGTAGGAAATTTTTTTCATTTAACAAACGTTTTTGAGCAGCTATTGCAGGCTAGCAATGGCTGGTGCTAAAAACTGCTGCAGGAGGGAAAATCATTGGTGTCTGAGGGTGCTCACACTGGTGCCCTCTCCATGCCTATGGATGTGTAGACAGTGTTACTTGGATATAATCAGCTATCAAAAGAAGAGAACATAAAGTAGGGAAGGGGTTGTGTTAAGAGAGATTCAGGAAGAGCTAGTGGGAAGTATGGGAGATGGATATGACCAAGTTTTGTTGGATATATGTATGAATTTTTTAAAAAAGAAAAATGTGTACATTTAAAAAGGTTCAAAGCATGAATTGCAGCTTTACGTTTGATTTATCTTTTATTCAGGGGTCACAATTGTTTCTTGTTCTCTCCTTAATCAGCTCTCTCTTTGTTGCTAGTGTTCTTGCGGGTAATAAATTCTCTGAACTATACACTTCAGGTAACATACTCTTAGTTAAAGCACTCTCAGCAAATTCCCAGGGTACTCCAGAGAAGTCCTGAGCCTATGGTTGGGTTACCAACTGCGACAGATGCCAGTGTGATTTACAGCAGTGAGAGCAGGTGGCTGTCTGCAGCTGTGTCCTTGTGGAATGTGTTCCTGCACAATAAAAGTCTCTCAGGTTTCCACAGAGAATGTCTATGCAGCGCCTTCTGGCTAGGAAATGCTGCCCCTCACCTTGATCTCTCTCTTCAAATCACATCTCAAAGCTGCCATGTCTGTGGTTGGGCCCTAGGTATTTGATATGACCCCAAGTCCCTTTCCCCCTTCTATATCTGACAGGCAATTCTGTTGGTTGTATAAATCTTCAAGCAGGGCTGGCTTTATGACCATTTCCAGACTGCATTTCAAAGGTCCCAGAAGTTCCAATTTTCTAATAAAAAAAGTCACTGCTAAATAGTTTCCGAAACCATGATTACAGATTCCCAGCTCTCATTTCCTATTCTTTCAAACTGAAAAAATAGTAATTTTTCTCCAGCTGATGGTTTATTTTATAGTAGGATCACATTTTGTCCATGTTATGAAATTCCCCCAGAAACAAGTGACAGCATTTGCTGAGAGGGAACCTGTGCTTAAAACTACTAGAATGCTGTTGTGCTGACACTGTTCCCAGGAAGATATGGATGGGTGTCTCCTCACACAGATAGGGAATCAATAGCAGACCAAAGCAAGGATAGCAGCACAGCACAACTTGGTGAACTGGCATTACTTACAGGAGTGTAGGTGAGGAGCCACTGGCAGGAGCATAGATGATACCCAGAAATCTGCATCACCATGGGAAATGCTCACAAAAGATGTAGCCCTGGAACTCACTGCTCAACTTACAGATGGCTCAAGAAGATGGAGAGTGTCTTTTCCAGATACCTGTTGTTTCTGGGCCTCATCAAGGCAGCTTGGCTGGTCTAAGGATATCTCTCTCGGAAGTTCTTACTGCTTATCTAACCTTGGGGAAGGGAGTATAGTGAATATGGTCAGTTTCAGGAACTTCCTAAAGATTCTGAGTTGTTTATCCTGAGTTTTTGAAGCTTCCCTAAAGGTTGGAGTGTTCCACCTTCCTTTAAAATAGGTATCCTGAGTCTTAAGGAACTTCCCTCCAAGATGGAAGGTTTTATCTCAGAAAAAAAGATGCTGTAAAGACAGGTATAAAATATCTCCATAATTCATCCACCCAGTGCTTTGGAACACCTTCATTCTTCGTAGGAGATGGAGAAAGGCTTTGACAGGACTCTACACTTTCCATGTTGTGCTTACTTCTTGGTTGTAAATCCATTCCTCACTATGTGTTCAAAGATGCTGATGCTAATCAGATGGAGAAAATCCCAAGCCTGGTCAATGGAACCAGTAGATGACTATCAGAATTTGAACTCAGGGCCACATGACTGTACTGATTTTATGTTCTATTTTACCACTAAGTCTCACCAAGATGTCTGAAGAAATATGTAATGTAAATTTTTTGTGTGTTTAACTATGACAGTATGCAGACATGGGATAGAAATATTGTTCTTTATCTTTTTAGGGCATAAATGGAAAGGATGGATTACCAGGTGCTCAGGTATGGAAGAAAAACATTTTAAAAAGTATGAATTCTTCAAATTTCTACTTTATATGTATATACATCTCAAAACAATTTGGGTTAGTCAGACTAATGGAAAATCTTAGCAAGCAGTGATTTTAGTGTTGACATCTGTTTTCCAGGGCATCATGGGTAAACCTGGAGACAGAGGCCCCAAAGGAGAACGCGTATGTATATCACTGCAACGGTTGCTGTTCACAGCTGTCTGACAGAACTTTTGCATCACTTTAGCCTCACAAGAAAACATGTAGACAACTTTGGTCATCCCAACGTGAAATGGTTAGGGTGTATATGACATGATAGCTCTACTAGGAATAGAATGGGAAGCTTAAGCAGGTCATGTGGAGGGTGGCTGTTGCTTGGCCTTTGTACACAAGCATCTACTTTTCTATCCCAGTTAGGAAAGTGTTTTACCACCCTCCTGTCTGAGACACACATGCCAATTATAAGCTCCCAAATTCTTTTTGCCAACTAAGGGGTTTCTCGCCCAGAGTGACTGACACTTGGAGGCCGATAAGTTTTTGTGATGTTTGGATGTCTAGTACACTGCAGAATATTGATAGCTTTGCTGGCTTCTATCCACTTGATGTACCAGTCCATGCAACTGTCACCACCCAGACATCACCACATGCCTTCTAGGGAGCAAAACCACCCAGGCTGAGGGCCACTGACCCACAGGAACACTAAGCAGATGGAGTAAGGAAATGGTGAGGATGGAGAGGAGTAGAAAGGGAACTGAATGGGAAGTTATACATGCAGTTACAGGCTGCACTTTTACTAGAACTCTGTGCACTGCCTGTGCTGTTTTAGAAACTTACTAGCATTTTTCTGTACTAAATCTTAGTCTCCTATTAGGACTCATGTCCCCAATGCAAGCTACTCAAGCTTTGTTACTTTGCATAACCCTATTTAGGACTGCCTTTATGTTTGTGGCTGTATATTTTTTTGTATGTACTGGTGTCTAATTTATTTTGGGTTTTTTTTACTGTTACACAAGTAATTCATGATAATGGAAAGAAGTATGAGAAAACAAGGTAACATAAATTTAAGAAGAAAAAGTCTTCCAGGCATCGTTACACAGAGATAAACACTAGCTATTTGGAACACATCTTAAATCTGTCACTCTTATGTATAATGTACACATGTAATCAATATAAAATAGATAGTCTTTTGAAATCAGATTGGCAGGGTTCTGTAAGCATTTTTGTACTGGCAATGTACAATGGCTACATGTGGCTTCCCTAGTCATCTTTTTCTAAGCAGTTATTTTCTCTCCAGTTTTCTTAATAATAAACACCACAAACATCTTTTGTTTTTAGAAAAAACAACTATTTTTTAAAAAATTTTATGAGGGGTCAGAGGACAACCTATATGAGTCACCCTTCTGCATCCACCATATAGCCTGTGTGGATTAAATCCATGACATCAAGTATGGTGATGGGTGCCATGTGCCATTTTGAGGCCTGAAATGACCATGGGGTGATGGGTACCAGCTCAGTTATCTCAGAAGGCACCATATATTAAAATTTAAGGCTTCACATGATAATAAAAATATAGATTATAAATCCAAGAGTGTTAATTTTTTTATCTTGGAAGTTTCTCCAGACATGAGCTGAGATGTCCGTATATTGATACATTTTATAAGACAATACCATTGATATTATGGTTATCTGTTTTCTTTCTAAATGGTTTCTCTATTTCCTTTTATGCCTTATGATCACATCAATACCTGTGATTGTTCACTTATTTTCACAATTTTTTAAAACCAAGACAAATACAGATGGGACCTTTGCTGAGATTACAGATAAGGGAATAGTGCAGAAAATGCAGGGCAGCCTTTAGCACCTGTCTGTCACACTCAGCTCAGACATCACTTCTGGGGTCATACAACTGAACACTGATCACATGGAACTGAAACACTTTCTGTGGTGTCACATTTCCCTGTGGCACACACAGTGTAGATTCATGCCCATGACAAAGCAACATTATAGAACTTACTCCCAGATTCAGACACAGCTAGAGCCATCTCATTGCTAAGGCTCACATCTTACTCAGCAAATTCTTATCCTTCGTATATGCTCTTGAACAAGTCCTCTCAGGCATGGCTGCCCCTCTGCCAACACCAGTCACTTGCTTAGAGACAGTCTTAAAGCTCTCTTCTCTTGCTTTCCTGTGTGGTATATGTATTCATTGGCCGAATACACATACAAACCCGTGTAAAACACGAGTGTAGAAGAAACTCCAAAGGATCTAATTAAGGCAAAACCAAAATGCAAAGGGGAGATAACCATCTGATTTAGAGTTGGTTTTGGTGTTTTTCTAGGTGTAGTCTCAGAGAGGTGATCCTGTTGGCAATCTCTTTTTGTAACTATGAAAGAGAACCAGACCTGAAGTGACAACAGTGGGTACTGGTGTTTGAAGGTGACATCATCCTAGACTGAAGACAGCTATCATTGTCACTAGGGTCTAATTTGCATAGTGCTTCCAAGGCATCAAACATCATTTTAAACATGTTACTTGGATGCATTCATTTCTCAATAATGCCCTAGCAAGGAGATGCTGTTAATATTCCCACATGCTAATGATACAAACTGGGGTACAGGGCAGACATATATAATCCAAAATCCACAGTAAATGAATGCCAGTATGGACCCAGGATTTTGGTATTAACTAGAGCATTACTAGAAAGAGTGACTCCTTATTTTCTCCCCAAACAGGGTGATCAGGGAATTCCAGGAGACAGAGGTCCACAAGGTGAACGTGGAAAACCAGGCCTTATGGGCATGAAGGGGGCTATAGGTCCTGTGGGACCACCAGGAAGCAAGGGCTCCATAGGATCACCTGGCCACCAAGGCCCTCCAGGCTCTCCAGGCATCCCTGGCACTCCGGTAAGTGGAGCCCCTCATACTGACCATGTGTCTTTCTATAATGAAAGAAACACCAGTCCTTTTTCAATATATAAAACAAGCTGGTCTGCACCATTATTTAAAGCTATATGCCAAGTCCTCTGTTGACCCCTCCATTACAACCCAGATCTTCACAGCCAAACTGGAAGAATGGGGCCCCTTCCCACCATCTGTTTATAAATTCAGGAGCAGAGTTGCCTTGATCAACATCAAAGTATTATTAAGAGGATCAAACCCAGGTCTGGTTGACTCCAAAATCATTGTTTGGCTTGGCATATGGGTTTGGAGTTGTTTATAGTGTGATGGGGTGGGCATTTGAGACAGGATCTTGTGGTTCCACTGGGCTGGAACTAATGATGCTCCGGCTTCAGCCTCCCAAGTGCATACCATCACACACACCCAACCATGTTTTTACGATAATACCTACAGTTGCTCCTACACAACCATATACATCTGTTTCATCCTGGAACTTTTCAGTTGGCCACCCCAACAAGTCTGCCCTGAATCAGACTTTGAAGCAGGAATGACTTGGGCCAAGAGCAGGGTCACTTAAAGCAGCCCTTATCTTACTACGATTTCAGGAAGAATGGCAGGGTGCTGGCTATTCAGCTGAGGAGTTCTGAAAATCTCTGTGACAGGAACAAAGAAATATCCTGGAATGAAGCAGGAGGCTAAAGACATACTTTCTTCAGACTGATGAAAAGCAGGGCATTACCTAAACCATCCTACTTGTTTATTTTTACCTCCTCCCTAAACTGTGCCAACAGGAAATCTGCAAAACTTGACCTCAGTGTCACTGTTTACTATCAAACTGTTCATTCAAGTTCATTTTTTATTTAAAAAACTTTTTACAATATATATTACTGTATTTTCCTCTCCGTGACTCCTCCCAGATTCTCCTTACCTCCCTACCCACCTAACTCACCTGACTTCATGTTCTTCTTTCTTTGTGTCTCTGTCTCTGTCTCTCTCTCTCAAAAAAAAATAAGAAACAAAAAACAAACATTCAAGAAACAAAAAGTTCCACAAAAGCAACAATCAAAACAAATATGCAGAAAAAAACAATAGACAAAATATGCTCAAACAAAGCAAAACAAAATAAGAAATCCACACAAATGCCTTTGAGTTTGTTTTGCATTGGACAACTACTTCTGGGCATGGGGTCTGCCGTGGAATATAATTGCCCAGTGATACTCCATTAGAGAAAATTTCTCTTCACCAGTAGGTATTAACTGCAGATAGCTTCTTGGTTAGGGGTGGGACCTGTGTCCACTTCCCCTTCTCAGTACTTTCATTCAAGTTCATTTTTCCGATGCACATTGCCAACAACATAACCGTTCTGACCAATAGAAATTAATACCTTATGAGGACACTGCATCGTCTTTTTTCTTCTTGCATTTTAAATGAATAGACATTGTGAATGGACAAGCTCACAGTATTATTGTCACATGCACAGGCTTAATGTGCAATCATGATGAAGGAATCTGTGGAGAAAAATAATGGAGAGCTCACCAAAACAAGGACGTTTACAGATTAAGGACAATTGCCTAATTTGTGGGAATAATTGGGGCCATGTCTGAAAATCACATCACATGGAGATTTCCCACAGATCTTTCATATCCCTCATCTAGACACATCCCACTGGGCTTTGTTATGCATTTCTCAAAATGTGTGATTGACAGTGGGAGGGAGTCCCAGCATCACAACTTCTAATGTGTGCTATGTTGTCTTTGTTGCCATACATGGAGCCTCAGAAAATAACTGCTCATGTAAACAATAGTAATGAAATGCTTTGAAATCCTGGCAATCTTGAAAAGTGATACATCCCTTCTGAAAAATGCCAAAGTATTTCAATAAAACATGGCTATTGTAAATGTAGGTTTTTGTCAAAGGATTAAGCATTCAGCTGACACTACTTACCTACTTACAATTACCAAGTATCTCATGTATTTTCCATTAAAATTTTAGCAAGGGCTGGAGAGATGGCTCAGCCCTTAAGGGCTAGATTCACAACCAAAAATAAAAATTAGCTGATATATTTATGTTAATATGTACATTACAGTAGCATGAGATAGGCAAAACATGAGAAACATTTTATAGGATAATCTTCCAACAACATGAAGTCAGTATCCAGGAGTGGGGTACATGTTCAATTGTGGTTGGTTTTTAACACTATCGCATTGTTTAGGCCTTTTAAATTTATGAAATGACGAAACAGAAACTATATGTCCTGATTGTCTATAGCCACATTTTTTTCCATTCATAGGAGAAATATTACCATCACTGGTTATAATCCCAGACCACAGCTTGTAAAGCAACTATGAATTTCAGCTTTTCCTAGCATTTGATCAAACAGAATTTTTGCCCAAAATAGTGCACTGCCCAAAGGATTTTGCTTGATAAATGTGTATCGACAAAAGTATGCCAAACCCAGCATTTCTGTTCCTTGTGCTTTGCTTTATTTTAATAGACATTCTTTTTTTCTCCTTTAGGCTGATGCTGTTTCATTTGAAGAAATCAAAAAGTACATTAATCAAGAGGTCCTAAGGATTTTTGAAGGTTAGGTTTTACTCTGTAATGTTTGTGAATTTTTCACTAATCTCCACTTCCTAGCCCCTGTGGGAAATTCCTTCAGTGACATTCTTGAAAGATGACTCTGTGACAACAATCATAACAGATCCATTTCATGGAGAGCCAGCTCCTTTTGACAGAAAGATCTTCCTTTCTTCTGTTAAATTTTCTCTTTAAACTTCCTTTCCTCCCCAATTGTCTATAAAACAACATAAAGTACCTTCTATTGGTATAACTGTCTTTTTCAAATAGTTCAATACCCACCCCACACCATCTTAATTCTTCTCCTCTGTGTAGTAAGTATGCCCAGCTCCCCCATCCTTGCCACCTGGGAAGGTGCTTAATTTACCTATGAGTGTTTTAATGGAGGTAGGTTACAATGTCTTTTGATCTTTACCATAGTCAGCAAACTAAAGACTCCCAGCCACATCTACCTGCTACAGATGGACTTTCATGTGGTCCACAAGCTGAGAACGGTTCTTACCGTTAGAGGATTTCCCATCCTCATTTTTTAAAAGATCAAAATGGCACATTAAAATGACCTAAATTCATATCTGATTTCTAATTAAGTGGTTTAGGGTATAGTCGTGCTTATTTCTTTTCATATTTTTCCAATGCTTTTAGGCTACAGGTGGAGAATTGAATAGATGTTACATTGCCCCACAGGTGAAAACTACATGTAATTTTAGTTACCGTGGTTAAAAGACATGCAGGAAAGCCATGGAAAATGACCCAAAAAGTGATCTCCAGAACAGATTAGTAATCCTGTGAATGAATATTCTTTAACCTTAAGGCTAATATTATCAAGTAATGAGGATTTCCCTTGATCTATCACGTAGCTGCTTCTGCAATGGAGTATCAAAGGGGGTTATACTAACAAAGTGGGCAATCCAACATGTGAATGTGTGTTAGGAGGAAAGATCCGTTCTTCTCTGAAAAAGTAAGTTACAAATTCTATTTGTGAAACTAACGGCAGGGGAGGACAGGGTGATGCCTGAATGTTCCTTACTTCTTCAATTAATGTTAATGTCGGCATTGTCACTGGGACTTCATTCTCCACGGAAGCCAAGTCCTCAGTCTGTCAGACTGTTGGCTCTTGTGAGTTCTGGCTCTTGTTTTGCCCAGGCAGGTGGAATATTCATGGTTTATGTACACCTCTTCTAAAGTCTTTAATTTTCTGCTTCATTAGAAAGCAGAGATGAAAACCAGTTTAAATGACTGAGGAGCCCTGAAAAGAGAGGGGAGGCAATTAAGAATACAGGCCTTCACAATTCACTGAGATGCTTAGATGCTAAGAAACTATTAGTTTCAATTATAGAGCATTAAGGTGGGTTCAGAAGAGGTAATTAGCTTATGCTAAATGACTGTTCCTTGGTGTAGCTTAAGCCAGTTTGTTTACAGCTAGAAGTAATTGTTTAAAATAATTGTGTTTTGCTAAAATTATTAAAAACCTCCCCAAACAAAATACTTGTAAATTTACTTCATATGCTAAAGAGAAAAAAATTAGGGTGGCAAACATTTGTGTTGAAGCATTTAAGGTAGTAAGCATTTATTTATTGGTGTGTGTGTTCACACGCACACCTATGTGTGTTAACACATGTGCCATAGCCTATATGCATGTGTGGAGGCCAGAGGGACATTTGTGGGAGTCTGTGCTCTCTTTCTGCCATATGGATCCCAGGGATTGGACTCAAGCAGTCAGGGGTAGTGCCAAACACCTTTGCCAGCTGAGCTATCTCAGCTGCAAGTCACTTTTACCAATGGAATCATTTGAATTACTAAAAATATTTGTTTTGTTTTGAAGAAATTGTGTGATGAGGAGAAACATTAACCACCCTGCTTCTTCTTATCATGGCAAGACTGTGCCCTCTTCTAGTTTTGTATTTTAAAAAATAATCACCCACATACTAGATTTTTATAGTATCAATACATAGAACATAAGCAAAACAAGTTTAAGGAGCCCCATGGCAGATTTTATTTATAAGTGAAGTCATGATTTTCTCAAAATGAATTCCAGACTAAAATACTGAGTATGCTCTTGAGATAAAATTTAACTGAGCAATGCTCTGTCTGAAATTAATAACAATTCAATAGTGACAGGAAATGTCTTTCATGAGCTGACACGTTTCTATTCTGGTGTCTCAGGCTGAACTGAAGATGCTCTGCTGTTTTGGAATAGTTTGAGATACCAGATTCGAAATGCCCTTTATAATATGTGTGCCCTATAAAAACATAATAGTTCTTATTCAAATGATCTGTTTAAGTGACTAAATTCTATAATTCCAGAACAAAGCCCACAATCCCTAATGCAAAGCCCTGCTACAGAGAATGTTTAGCCAGATGTGGTGGAGTCACAGCTGGAATACCAGAAGTTCAAGGCTAGCCTGGATTGCATGAGACCCTGAATCAAAGGGACACTTTTTTACTTAAAAATAAAATAAAGAATGTTTAGTTAAGTTAACCTTGATCAGAAGTTAATTTTAAATGGAAAATTCGTATACATATTTTCATACTTAACAGTCTTTGAACTTCTTTTGTGGTTCTTTTAAGTTTCACTAATACACCAATTTTCTCGTTTCTTCTTGTGTGGGGGGGCTGTCATGTGTATGTCTGTGTGTAGGGCAGGAAGCAGTTGGCTGGGGTATGCCCCATGTGACCAAGTGCATGCACAAAGGCCACAGAGGACGTCAAATGTCCCCATCTACCGCTCTCCATCTTATTCCCTGTGACATGGTCTTTCACTGAGCCTAAACTTTGTGTTCCCTGCTAGACTGATGGCTAGAAGTCCAAGTGATCTTCCTGCCTCTGACCTCCCAGCACTCGGGTTACAGCTTTTACAGGCGTGCTGAGGATCTGAACTGGAGTCCTCATGCTTGTGTGGCAATCACCCTTCCCCAAGAGTCCCAACATGCTACCTTCAGCATTGCATATGTGCTTTCATCTCAAAGTACCATGACCTTAGTGACTGTCTAAGACTTAGTAGTTGCAGCCCTCTGCACTAACTAGAAGGGTGCTTCCATGAGCTGATGATGACCCCTGACTGGGGGTGTTCAATTAATGTTCTCTATCATCACTGGGCACTTTATCCAGGACCTGTATGCACAGTATTGTACCCCAGGTAGTCTGCTAAATGAATAGATGGTGATGCCTATGATGTGCCCCTTGGGAAAGCATCTGTGTTAGGAAGGACTTAATTCATTAAGATGTATCCATCCATTGCCTGTAATTTGTGTTCGCTGGTCCAGTATTTTCTTAGGCTCACAAAGACACACAGAAACATTTTGCTGTTCTTATGGCTGTCACTAAAATTCAAAGTGAGGCTTCTCATCTGCAGCAATGTTGAGTATATTTTCCTTTTACAAAATTACACATCCTTCTTCTTTCTACCAATCTGATTGAACAAATGACTCAGTAACTGGAAATAGAACCAGAAAATGCGTCATACGGAGGGCATATAGGATTCCTTCCTTAAAAAGTAAAAGTTACTTGTGACATTTTTGCCTAGTCTAGAGCTTAAATGGTGAAATGAAGCCAATGACACTTTTTTTCAGTAACTAAATGTCTGCTGAAAATGCAGTGTTGTTCAAGTCACCTGCAACATGAGTTATCTGCTGTCATGTAAGAAAATGTAATTCCTATACATGTGAGTGAATTGGAAGAGTATATAGCCATTTGTTCACATGATCTGTGGGTCAACAACTCGAAGTGTTGCTTAGTCATATTGTTCTGCCACTAGATCTGTAGTGAGGTCACAGATAGGACCCCAGTCAAGTGAGGGTCCTATCATTTTAATACTTTCCTGGGGAAGGATGGGCACCTTCAAGCTCACTAGCATAGCTGTCACAGGGCAATATCACTTGAGTGATCCCACTCCATATTCCATGCCACCAGACTTCCTCCAGGCTTAGCAACTGAAGAGCTACTGGAAAGCTCTTTTATGAACAATTCTTTCTGGTTATACATTGCCCATTCTGCTTTTGTTTTTCTTTTCATAAGAAAAGTAAATCCAATCATGACTCAAAACCCAGGGTTTGGGTTCTAATCATGGAAGGGTGTTAAAAAATCAGTGGCTATACATCAAATTGCTACAAATTCAACACAGGGCTAGAAAGTGCCTTACATAAAAACAATGAACCAAACTTTTCTCCACAAGTCATAGCCAAGTTAATTAGACAAGTGTTCTGGCCACTCCACTGCTGGGTTCCAGGAATACTAGTAATTCCTAGACACTCTGATCAACCCAGCTGTTCTGCTTCTGTCTTCAAACAACTGCATGCAATTGATTCTGTTTTATCAAAACCACAGCAGTCAGAACAGTTGGTATATAATATGTGCTTAAATAAGAAATTAAATTATTTCAACTTCTTATAAAAATGTTCAGAAATCGTTTGACATAAAGACATTTCAGTGACATGATGTATCTTTTTCTTTCATGAACGAAGAGAGGATGGCTGTGTTTCTATCCCAGCTTAAGCTGCCAGCAGCAATGTTATCTGCTCAAGCTCATGGAAGGCCTGGCCCACCAGGGAAGGATGGGTTACCAGGACCCCCAGGAGACCCAGGACCCCAAGGTAAGGCTGCCAATGTAATGTTGTGTGTGCCATGTTTTTAAACCTTGCTATTTATAACATGCTCATTGCAATTAAAACATATGTGTGTGATATGTATGAAATGGCTTGTTATGAACTATCTTGCTAATATTTTCTTTTCTGGTGGTAAATACTATTACTACTTCAAATTTAAAACTGATATGCCTGCTACTCTAAGCTCATTTTAATAATATGCAGTGTAACAATAATGGCCATACTGTCCACTGCTCTATAATTGTTATATAGGAATCCTAGAGTTGTTTCTGTCTCCAACTCACTACTAGGCAAGACTCTTCTTCATAGAGGTTTGAAGAAACTGAAGCAAGAGTCTTAGGAAAATCTGCTACAAACAGTCATTTGGGGCTATCACCTAACTGAGGGCAGTTTAGAGTGATTGTATGGTAGAGTTTTGAAGATGGTATCTTTTAAAGTATAGACTTAATCTTCTTTGAATTTGTATTCATTTCAGATAATTTCACAAATGTATACAGCAAAATATAATGATATCTACTCCCCATTTCCCCATCCAAGTATCCCCATGCCCCCTCAATATGTCCCCCTAAATTATTATCTTTTTAAAATAACTCACTTAGTCCAGTTAGTGCTACCATATGTGCACAGGGATGGAGCCATCCCATGGGACATGTAAGACCTACTAGTGGCCACATCCTCTACTAAGAATGAGTCCTCCTTCCCCAGCAACTAGCCCCTGGCAATAGTTCCCCAGTAAGGGATAGGTCATCTACTCAATCTATGCCAGAATTTGTGGATTTCTTGATCTTGGGTGGGTTTGGGGCAGGTAATTATGATGACTTGTGAACTTTAAAGTATATTTTGTATGACTTCTAAAGTCTTGAAAGACAAACTTACATTGGCAAAAAGCAAAGTGTCCTAATGATGACAACATGAGAAGAAAAATGCTCTTAAATTTTGTTGGATTCAGTTATTCTGACACAGCTATTCTGTTAAAAAAAATCAATCTGCAAACTAGTTAGGCCTACATTGAGATGATTCATGAATTCTGACAGAGAGATGCCAAATTTAGTAAGGATGAACCATAAGAAACAAAATTAGGGAAACTGTAGCCCTAGGCATCTCTACTGCCACCAAAGTTGTTCCTAAGCATTTTGGGAAGTTTGCCTTCCTGGAGTTGAATTAAATTCTACTCCAGAATCCATTTTTAATTATCATCTGTTTGCTCGAGGACAGACAGTACATCCCACATTCCCAATCCCTGTACATAATAGGGGCACAACAGCAGACACTAGTAAACTATTCTCAGAATTAGCCACAAGGCCCCACTTCATGAAGATGAACCAACCCCTGGTTTCCTGATTCTGGCTGAAGCCCATAATGGCTCCCACTCAGTCACAATGCTCTGCTAGACTGTGGAGGAAATGGGAGGCCTTGGTAGCTTACCCATAGACACTTCAGATTGAGTTCCTCAGCTTACCAGAGGCAGTTGTCTCTGGGCATTTGGAGGCAATCAGTATGGAGATGGGGGAGCAGTAGAAACTGCTTCTAATGAAAGAGACACTATCAAATACTGAAGGCTTAGCCAGGAAGGAGGCTGCTATTCTGAGTGGTGAGCCTGCCATGGTTGGAGCCCCAAGAGAAAAGTCAGTTAGTTCAAAGGCAAGATGGTAGAGAAAGACCTAGAAGGCTGAGATAACTGATCAGAAGATGAGAACTGTTTTGTCCCAATGGGCCATGCTGTCAGGAGGCTAACTGAAGGATGTTTGCATAGACTGGTGATTGAAGACTGATGGGAACTTTTGTACAGGGGTAGATTTGTGGTCAGAGGTTGAATATCCAACCCTAGCCACCTGAGCACAGATGTGTCACTCTTCTGCAAAGATCATTATTTCTCTGGTTGTTCTTGTCACTGATGAGTCTGCCCAGGTCCAGTTACCATTCCACAATGGACAGCCTGGAGAGAGTAGCTACCACAAAGCCCTCTTGCCAAACTCCAAACTCACAGTAAAAGAAAACCTACTGTACCTGATTTTTATGAAGACACAAATCACATGAAGTTAAATGGGAAGTCACCATAAGATTTGGCCTCATTGCTCAGTTTAAAAATCACTGTAGTTTTCTTAAGTATCCATCTTCCATTTATCTTAGGTCAGGAGATTTGACTTATAGTTGAAGAAAGGGGAAATGTAAAGACTCAGACAGCCTTCTGTGTCTATACACATATAGGGTGGTTATTATAGTTTATTCATTGGGTCTCTTCTGAAGTCAGAGAACTGGAAAGACCTTTAAATGCCATCTGAATATGTGATACTCAAACCACATGAACCATAAGGCTGGTTGATACCAGTAGAAAACTTTGAATGGATCCTTCAAACCTTTGTAGTCCAGGAGAACACACAAGAGACCTAATAAAACAGAGTTCCAACTGGAGTCACCTCTCCCACACGTGCTCATAGCTCAAGGCACATTCCCAGGAAGCCAGTCTGGAAGGTTCTCAGTCAGAGGCAATTCTAAGGCAACCGTGTTAGCGAGGTTTTCAAAAACAAGACTCATACTCACTTTGTAGCCAGCTGATCAAAGGATGAGGACCTTCTCTTTTGCAAGAGATTTCTGTGGCTGTAGCGTGCCACTGTGTACATCACAGACTATGACTTCTAATAGAGATCTGAGGGCAATTCTTGAGTTTGGAGGAATTCCCCACATGATTTCCAGTTTTCTTTAAGGCAAGTTCTACTAAAATGGACAAAACTTCTGTCCCACCAGAGTTTCTGACAACAAACACACTTAGAAGTTGTTGTCTCGGCTTGTGTCCCCCCTCTCAGGGGACTCCTGACAGTGAACAGAGCTTGACTGGAAGCTGTTGATTGACAATTCAACTCTTTGAAATGTTAAATTTGCCAGAAATACAGCAGAAAATTGAAGTTTGCAAAAAACAAATGAAATTTGTTTTTATTGATTTAAAAGAATTTTGCTGATAGTCATACTGTAAGATGACCCTAAAAGGCACAAGGAAATCTCATGAAAGGAGAGGGAGGGGAGGGACAAGAGGGAGAGGAAGAAGAGAAAGGGAGAGAGAGGAGGAGAAGCAGGTGAGAAGGCAGAAACCACAGTCTGATTTTTGTTGCTTCTCTGGGTGGACATTAGAAATTGAAGGTTTTCTCTGGTAACAAGTAAATATGAAGTTCTTCCAACCTTAAATGCTGTTGGCTGGATTAGCCCCCTTCATTGTGACAACTGAGGCTGAAAGAATACTGAAGTGCAAAATACAGTGCAGAAAGGGACAGGAAATGTGTCCGTTAAATTATATCTCTGGGTACACTGGCTACTTGGAATTCTGTCTAATGGTGGCCCATTCTTAGAAATTGCCTAAAGGATGTATGAGTCCTTGACAATACTTGTCAGGGAAGAAAGACATTTTTAACTTAAGTGGCAATTTGAAATATGCACCTCAAAAAGGGGTCCTTTTATCACCTTCATTATCTTCATATGTTTAGTGAAGGATTAAAAAAGAAATCAAAGACCTTGTAAAGAGTCCTGTGCTTATTCTGCAAAGCAGGGTACCGTAGAAGCAAGGAAGAAATCGATACATGGCCATCAGCGATGTGCTAGGGGAGACCATTCCCCTGTGAAGACTTACTAATGAAAACCGGAGGATGTTCTTTCAGGGACCCAATCTCCCCGAAGGACAGTGAATGCTTATTAGAGAAGATTCTGGAAGGGACCCTATTGTTTGTATCCTCTGAGACTCCCAAGTGGGTCATGACTGATGTCATGTTGAAGTCAAAAGCAGTTCTATAGAATTTTTATTTTAGTCCTTGTACGGGATCTGTGGGTGTTGATTTCCCACTGTGCATGGAGAAAACATTGTTCAGTGTTCTGTCACTCCTGGACGCGATCGGCTATATGGGGCCCAAGTGCCACAGCTCAAGAGCAATGGGCCTGAAAAGCCTAATCCAGTGGCATTCTTCTAGATAAACGATAACAAACTTTCCTAACAAAGTTCACCTTCTTGGGTGAGATTTTGCAGAAGAACTGTCACAATATGTAGTTGATTTTTCTTTTAAAGGGGTTGGTTAAAACCTTGAGAAATAGGTTGGCATACTTACATGCCTCTCCCATTTCAGAAAGAATCTCACATGTAGAGTTAATGGAAGACAACAAGGATAATGGGGAGGAGGAAAAGGGGGAAGGATCTAGTCTACATACCAGCTCCCATCAATTTTAAGAGGACAACACTGGGAGTCATTGCTCTTCTTTTTGAGCTTTTAAGGTTTAGGTCTCATCAGCTTCTAAATCAAAGAAAACCTTTTTTCACATGTTTTAATCCAGTGGCCCATAGCATAGTTGATAGTCCTAGGACAGTTCTATCGATTAGCCGTGGAGGTCTTTGGAAATAAGAGGATAAGACTGTAGTCAAAATGGCTGAAGGGCTCAGCAGTCAGTCAGTGAGCCAGAACCAGGGAAGCTGTATATATGTATATATATATATATATATATATATGTGTGTGTGTGTGTGTGTGTGTGTCCATATGAATGCAAAAACCTTACAAGCCAGAACTATTTTCTGAGTTTATGCTGTGTATGCTGTTTTTTCTCTCAGCATATATTAACCATTTTACATTTGTCATATATTAAACATAAATATCTTCATATCTTCACTTACATGTTTATGATAGCTGTGTGAGCTGCTTAACAGAAATGATGATGGAAGTCTAGGTACAGGAAATAGGGAAGAAATATACAGAAAGAATTCTGTTTTATATAAGAATAAGACAGTATAAGAAACAGACTTTATTTTTTCTCCATTTTTATTTGAATTAGAAACAAGATTATTTTACATGTCAATCCCAGTTCCCTCTTCCTCCCCTTCTCCCTGTCCCCCCAACTAACACCCTACCTACCCCATACCCTTTCTGCTCCCCAGGAAGGGTAAGGCCTTCCATAGGGGGTCTTCAGAGTAGAAAAAGACTTTATTAAGCAAAATGAATAATCAATTAATTAGTAATAACTAAATGAAATAAAAAGAACAAACGACTCCTAATTTCAAGTTTAGCAGAATACAAATTTGAGTCAAATCATTTAACAGCAAAAAATGCTTTACTATGACAGTTTATAAATGTAAAGGACCAGAAATTTTAACAATGGTAGAACATAAGAGACTAAGAAGTCCCCAAAGTATTTACCATGGTTTTTTTTTTTTTTTTTTTTTTTTTTTTTTTTTTTTTTTTTTACATTTTTTTTTTTTTTTTACATTTTTTTCCTGGTTTTTTTTTTTTTTTTTTTTGAAGATTTACTTTTGTTTTTGTTTTTTTGTTTTTTTATGGTTTTTCAAGACAGTGTTTCTCTGTGTAACAGATCTAGCTGTCCTGGAACTAGCTTTGTAGACCAGGCTGGCCTTAAACTCACAAAGAACCACCTGCCTCTCCCTCCCAAGTACTGGGGTAGAAGGCTTGCACCACCACCGCCAGGCCTATTTTTATTGTTTTTCAAAGTCTCACTATCAAAAGTTTGGTTTGCTTTAACTTTATATATTAGCTGCATGGTTATCAGATCCCCTGTGTTTTATTGTACTCAACCTACATTAATGTTTAATGCATGGTAAGTATGAGATGAACATTAATGTATAGAACAGCACAAACAGCTTGACTCAGAAAACAGTACTTTCATTGTGCATGTCAGGGTCGAATATTTTTCTTTTCATGTCTCACTTTTTATTTGTCCCTCATGCAGGCTACCGAGGACAGAAGGGAGAAAGAGGCGAACCTGGAATTGGGTTGCCAGGGAGTCCAGGTCTTCCTGGATCTTCAGGTAATAGGCATGTTATCTTTACACATGCAGGCCTCTCAAAATAGGCCTCTTCTCCCCTGTGAATCTTACCCGTTCAATTGAATGACCCATGGCGTCTGGAGAAAGGGAGGCAGGCAGGATCACCTGTGGCCTGCATTCTCATGGTGTATTTCATTTCATTAGCAGTGGGTTTGCCAGGTGCCCCAGGGCCGCAAGGACCCCCAGGACCCAGTGGAAGATGTAATCCAGAAGATTGCCTCTATCCTGTGTCTCCTGCCCATCAGCAGGCAGGTGCAAAATGAAAACTACAAAGGAAGACTTGTTCCTGGTGATATCTCCATACAATTAGAGCTGTCAATACGGGCTTTACAGCCATGTGCTCTCAAGGCTTGTGATATCTGGACTGCTTTCCTTTTCTTTCTTCTTTTTTTTTTTTTCCTGATGTAGGGCAGACATCCAGAGCCGCCATCTGAATCCTATTCTGACAGTAATTGCAAATCAGTATTTTCAGATGCTTCCCATCTTTGTTCCCTTTGTTTCATTTTACCGTGGCTCTGAGTTCTACTCAGTTTCACTTGAAGAAATGCAAGTGAGCTTGTCAGGGTTCTTCAGAAGAGATCACATGGTACACAGACGACATAGACTTTGTAAACTCGTCAACATGATTAGACTTTGATTTCTGAACTTGAATTTTTCAAATGTATCTTGACATCTTCTTCATGTTTAAATTTACTATCGTTGCTTCAAATTTTTTTGCTCTCCTAAGATTGAGGCAGTACTTTTTTACTGCTGTTGACTGTCCTGTGACTGATTTTTACACCATCCTACATTCGTTCTATTTATACAGAAAAATAGGCAATAAGATGCACTTTTAACTTATTTTTCAAAAAAAAAAAAAAAAAAACTATGGGAGACTCTTTATCAGGGAGCTCCCAAACTCATCATAGCCAGCTGTTGAAATGATTTTGTGACTTCCAGGCTTTGAGCTCAATTTGAAGCACTCCTGACGGACATGAACTTACGCTACATGAAAAAGGAAGAACAAAACTGACCCTATGCTCCCTTCAATGTGTCTCCCAGGTGGCAAGAAAGTGGTTTCCCTTAAGAGGTGTTTGGTGGTGAAGGCAAAGTACCAAGTACCAAGTCTTTGGTATTTGACAAGCTTTAGTAGCCTGGCAAGACCGTTGTGCTCTTTTATGCATTATTCTTCTGACTGTGTGATCTCCGGGCCCACCATCAGAGAAAAGCACAAGATTTGTAATGACTGGAATGGAAGAGTCCTTGCCTTGCAAAGTGAGGCTGAAGTGTCAGCAAATTCATGAAGCACACACCGTCCTACGGAGATAATATTTCTCAGAAAGAGGTCTCCAGTTCAGCAAAGGAAAGCCGGAGACTGCGCGTGAAAGTCACTGCTTGCTTCAAAACCATGCTTTCTGGGCTTGGAAATTTAGCTCAGTGGTGAAGCGCTTTTCTGTGAAGCTCATGGCCTTGGGTTCTGTCTTCAGCTCTGGGGGGAAAAAATAAAATAAACCAAATATGCTCTGAAAGGAAGCAAAATTCCGACGGGCTTAGCTGAATTACCCAACAGTATTTTTTTTTTACTTCCTACCTATTAATTGTTTGGAGAAACTTTTGTGGGAAACAACTGATTTTTCTGGAATATTTAGCACAAGGACATTGCTGGGATCTAGCTGGTTGGATCCCACAGAAGCTGAGCATGCGCCGCCAGAGCCCTCTGGTCACACGGACTAGTTCACACCTCAAGGAGCAGTACATATTCCACAGGATAGGATGATGCGTGAAACAGACAACGAGTTCTAAAAAGCAAGCCCACTGAGAGTGGTGGAAGCTGTGAATGGTTTTCCCGGGAAGCATGCCTGACGTAAGGCAGTTTGTTTAAATGCACCCATGATTTGGACTGGCTTTCATTACAAACAGATGAGCTGCTGGCCAGGTACTGCCAACATGGCTGTGCATAAATATAGACTTTTAGGTCTTTAATATTGAGTCTTACTGTATATTTCGATCCAAGTTTATTTATTTTCCAAGTCTACTTTATTTATTTTCAATGTTTTAAGCACTGTATTGCTTATTCCTTTGTTTTCTTTCTTATGCAATACCTGCAATGGTGCTGTGTTTTAAACTCACACAATTGGAATATGCAAACATTTGCATATGGATCTTCATAATCAAATGGTAATCTACCCCCCAAAATGTACATAAAGTGAAAAGATGGTGCTATGTGTATATTTTGAGCTTTCAATTTGTTGAATTTTCTGAGAACTTACCTGGCACATATTAATTTACTTGAATTTGCTGTAAAGCTAAGACTTTTATATGTTTTCAAAGATTATTTTTCATATTAATTGACAGGTTATTTATCCTTTTGCCTTTTGGTTTATGCAAAAATATTTATTTTATAATTTTAATGTTTTCCTGAACATTTGGCTGGTGATCAATGCATTTGGGGGTTTCTTAGTTGATCAATTGATGTGTATAAAAGATGCGGTTCATTTTCTTATTTTGTGAATTATATTCACTTGAGTTCCAGAGAACAGAAACCTTTCTTACAAACTATAGCTATTATTCTTCCTTTTTCTAATTTCTGTGAATGTATGACTGGCTTATTCCTGTTTCAGGGATTTAGATTTGTTCACATAACTTGAGGAGTGTAGAGGATAAAATATGTTACATGATAACTATTGATAAGTGGCCTGTCACCCTGATTCAAGATCATTTTTTAAAACTGGGCCATGTGACTAAGTCTGGAATAACTAGAGAGATGGGACAGTGATTACATAGCACAAACCCTCAATCTACTGTTATTTATCTTGAAAAGGTTTTTTTTTTCCTCTGCCCTCAGCTCTGTTCATAACAAAGGTCTACAAGGAACAGTTGGTCTAGATAACATAACAAAGAAATTGGCAGGTACTCAACCCTTCCATAAAAATAAACAGGATAATTTGGTCCCTGAAGTAGGATAGGAAATGGCCCTCTAAATAACCATTTGACTTATTAAAATTTAAAAAAAGCTATTTAGTTCAGGTGTAGCAAGGGAGAATTATTACTTTTCACTCGTTTAATAATTACAGGCTATGATGACTATTAAAACTGGCTTTTTTTCAATAAAAAGTCCTAAATTGTATGCCAGTTCAGTTAGCAATTTTAGGAAGAAATGTTCCTATGTAGAGAAGATCTAATCTCAGTTCATTTTTCTGGCTCTAAGAGTCAAAAGAAAAGAGAGAAGAGTGGCCTGGGCATGTACCATTGTTATTGCCTACTGAAAGCTTTGGCCATTACTTCTAACCACAGCAGAAGCACAGTCAGTCTTGAGTTTTTCAACTTTTTGCCTTGATCAGAGCTATTTAATGACTTCGACTTCTTGTGCTTTTTTTCTGTATTTCATGATATAGTTGAAAATTAAAATTTTGCCTACTTATAGAGCTTAAGGAATTATTTCATGATACACTGCCTGTACAAATTGCCATTTGATGTTGAGCATATAAAGTAATTTCTATAGCTATGTCTTAGATATTTAATAAGGTTTAGCTCTTCTGCTTCTGCAGCCTTCCCCATTTCTGAAAAACTTATTATATACCTCTTTTTGTCCACAAGATGGTGTTTGAGGCAACTTGTTCAGAACTGAGCAGACTCACAGAAGCCTGAAACCTAGGAAAGTTTGGTGGACAGTTGAATCAGACATTGGCCTTTGCACTTTTTTTTGTTTTGTAAATACTCTTTGTAAATTATATTTCATTTAATTAATTTGTGCTTTTCAGAACTTTCCGTATCTTTTCGAGGCAGGCATAACAGCCTTTGGTTTGTTGATTGTTTCATTTTTATTTATTATGTATATACCTTTATGCAACATGCAAATTTGCTATAAGGTTGTTTTATGCTACTCTTATATTTTAGTGACTAATGTGCACACACCTAAGTATTTATCCTCCTTTGCAGTAAGGGAAGATATTCTTTTGACAAATGAAACACATTTAGCTTAACACAAGTGGTAGACAATGTCTGAACTAGTTATTGCTTAAGATAAATTTTGCAATTAAATTTATACAATGTCTATTTTTCTAGAAATATGTCACTATTTACAAAAACGAGTAAGAACACTGATTTTCAAATTGCCATCTTCTTTTTTTAATGTCATCCTTTTTCTAGCATTGGTAATACTATCCCCAAGACTGAGAATTGGGTGCAGTGATCTTGAGGTTATTTAAATCTGGAAATTAAAAAAGAAAAGCTATACAGATTTGACATTTGCCCTTGTTCTTAAATTATTTTCTACACTTGTCTAGACGTATCTACCATATGAAAACACACAGTGTTTTCTCTCCTGGCTTCGGAGCAGGACATACACTCCCTTTTTATTTTTCTCTCAGAGATTAAACAGACACCTATGAGAAGATTTCCAGGAGAGTTTAGTTATCACCCTTTAAGTCGTGTGCATCAGAGTAATGTTGTAACCCATTGGCTTGTATTTCTTCATCAGTCGATGTGTAAAGTAGCATCTGTTGTATTAAATTTGTTCAATGAGTGGGAGTTACAGGACACAGAAAGAGAGGTTATTTCTGTTTTCATTTACTAATGTAGCTGGGGCTATCATATCAACATTTCACTGAACAAAATCATGTAGAAAACTGCATCAGTTTGGTTGAATGAATGCAACTCCAAGTAGACACAGAGACCATTAATTCAAATAAGTAGACCAGCAAGAAAATAATTGAAAAGACAAAATGAAATTTAGTCTGGTAAGGAACAGCTACATGGAAAAAAATGTTCAGGTTCAATTCCAGTAGTGATATATGGTTCGACTCAAAAATTCAGCTACCTGCTTCACAGATTTGTACCAAGTGAATGCTACAAATGTACAAATTCATTTGTACCAAGTGAATTTAGGCATCACTAAACTTAGGACTAACTACTCAAAATTTAACACAAGCCTGGGTATTGCCTGACCATAACAAGCTTACAAGCATAAAGATGCAATTTTACAACTTCTTATTTTGCTGTGATACTTAAGGTGTATTTAGAGGAGAAATACTTGTAGTTAATTTGAATTCAGATTGTGTTATGGAATATTTTGTATTTACTTTAAAAATAATATTTGGGATGTATTTTTCTGCATTTTGTTCTATATCTTACCTCATTGGCTATTTAAGGTTTAATTTTATTACACTCACATTAAGTGGACTGCTACTCACTATTATAAATCCCAGTGAATAGATGGTTGCAGGTCTTGGTTCCTCTAGCTTTATTATGCGTCATGAACATCTTGCCTCTCTCAGCAATAAAG